TTAGACCCAATTCGTGGTCTTCCCGGGCAAGGATCGCTTTTAGTTCTTTCAACCGGAATGTGACCCGCCAAAGAAGTATCTTCAAATCCAACAATAACTCCTCCGACAACCTTAGGATCGTACTCAGGAAAGGAGGTTTTGGGCTTAGTATCACGTTCAACTGGTAAGCCGACATCATCTCGAGTTTCCAAAAATACTTTGATCTGTCGCTCACGCTCAAGCCGTTCAGCCTCTTTACGAGCACGTTCTAAACTTCTCCAGTCATCACGTTCTCGGGGCAGTTCATCTTTTTTATCTCTGGTATCTTTGCTGTCTCTCCGGCGATGTGAATTTTCGCTGCAAGGCTCCAAGCACTCGATACTGCGTCTCCGTTCCCTCGAGTCTAATCTTTCTAAACTGCGTCTTTCTCTTGAATCAACTCTGGTAAAAAAACTACGTCTATCGTTGGAAGTTCTGTTGCCAGAATACTTTTTCCCATTATCGTATCCCTTGTCTAATGAGTCCGCCGGAATAAATCGTTCTAATACGGTCTTATCCAGTGAACTCAGACGCTCGATAGTCCTTGGATCAAAGTCAAAAGTAGGCCGTTCGTGTTCGTGTTCGCATTCACGTTCACGTGAATCCAAACGTTCGTAACTTTTACCACGTACATCACGTGAACTGTGTCGATGATCAAAGGGACTTTTATTACTGGTATCAATTCGCTCCCAAGTGTGTCTTTCGTACTCGTGAGTTTTACCGGGACTTTTACGCGCCTCTCTTGAATCAATTCTCTCCATACTCTTTCTCATTTCTCTGGAATCTAAACGTTCAACACTTTTAACACGATACGAATCTCGGTGATTTCGTTTACCACCATTACGCTCTTTATTATTAATACTTGTATCAATAATAAATCTCTCACCGTTATTTCGTTCAATAGAATCCAATCTTTCAATACTACGTCTGAATTCGCGGCTGTCGTCCCTCTCGATACGTACAGAATAAGTTTCTCTAAAGTCCAATTTCTCCATACTGCGCCTTTCTCTAGAATCTATACGTCCCATCGAAGATCTTCTATCACGATTATTATCCCACCTTCGGTCCATCCTCTTACGTTCTTCTCTCTCAATATTTTTCCTCTCCTTGGCCATCAATTTCTCAATACTCCTGGTATCCTGTTTTCTGTTATGATTATTATTACTATTTCTTCCAAGACTTCCAGTTTCAATGTACGGCCGATGAACATAATCCTCCAGACTGACAATACTTCTAGCTCGTGTTGTCCTTTCACGACACTGATCTAAAATAGTTTTATTCGGATCAACTGGACTCAAATCATCATCAATTCTAGACTTGGGTCTCATTATTCCCTCGTCTCTCAGCACTTCTGAGTCAACATGGGTCATTTTATACTTAGGTTTTAAACTTTTGAGCTCATTCAACACTGTCAACTTTTGTTTCTGCACTTGTAAGACAACAGGATCTTTTCTTACCGTATCCTGATGCGGTAAAGGTGGTTTACTTTCACTATAACTGTTCTTAACTTCAAACTTACGCTCTATCTGAGTCGATGTGCGTTGTATTCTCGATTCTGTAATTAAATTATTATTAGTAATAGTAGTAGTGGTAGTCGTCGTAGTTGTTGTCGTTGTCGTCATCGTCGTCGTCGTCGTCGTCGTCGTCGTCGTCGTCGTCGTCGTCGTCGTCGTAGCAGTTATCGTCATTGGTAAATTATTGATATTAATATTATTATTATTATTATTATTATTATTATTATTATTGTTATTGTTAGTATTAGTACTAGAATTATTATCTAATTTATTAACAATTGAGTGCCGATCCGTAGACTTAGACTTTAAATTAACATTTTTAATATCCGCGAGTACAGATTTAAATAATTGTTTATCAGTGGATTTAATAGAACGATGCTTGACAAAAGAATCGGTTTCAGAGTCCATTTGGAACATCTCGTGGTCGATTCCTTCGTCGCTTTGATCGGACAGTGCCTCCTGCTCATCATCGTCATGTGGACTCGAATAAGATTCTGGGTACTCAAACTCGTGCTCACGCTCGAGGAGCTCGTAAGAGTCGTGAGATAAATCATCGTGGGACAAATCAGCTCCAGGACCTGATTCCTCGTGTCCAGATTCGGTGGACACTGAAGAAGTTCCCGGATAGGAGCTACTGTAAACGCGGTCAGGGACTGAGTCATGATCGAGCGATGGGAGCTTGGAGCTCGCTGCACTGTAAGAGCGATTGCTCTCGTCGTAACGCGTAACCGGAGCATCCAGCTCCCCTTGCGATGCCAGCTGGAAAACGTCTAACCCGTCTTCGAGCTTGTCATTGCGAGGTGGCCGAGCCCGGCCTGAATCTTCAAAAGAAGTCGCGTAAAGCTCACGACAGCTTGCGGAACGCTGCCAAGGATGACGGGGTAGAGGGCGAGGGGGCGGAAATTCGGGGGGACTGCTGTTAGAGGGGCTGATACGACCTGTTGATGATGTTATCCGTTGTTGCTGCTGATGGTGGTGGTGGAGTTGCTGCTGCTGCTGCTGCTGCTGCTGCTGTTGCTGTTGCTGCTGCTGATGAAGATGCAATTGTTGATGAGCAGCCGTAATATGCCGTCCCGGGGCTTGATTGGGAGTAGCTGGAGTATGGACGTCGATAGAGGTGAGCGTCCGACAGGACATAGCTGTGTCGTCGCGACGGTGATGACTCGTCCCGCCCATCGAGACACTCGTCACAGTCGTCGGAGAATCCGGTGTCATCGAACCGCATGACAGAGACAGACGAGGTGTTCCCAGGGCTAGATCAAAATAATATTCTCAATTATTATTTTATTTTTTTAATTTATACTCGGGTTTAATATTCTAGATAATATATAATTAAATGTTTTGTTAATTTTTATTTATTTATTTATTATGATTTTTTTTTATGTTAGGGCAATGCTTTTATGACAATCAGAAGCAGGTATGTTGTAGATTTAAAAGACTTCTACCTAAATTATGTATTAAAATTTTTTACTTAACAAAAAATTAAAAATAGAAAATAGAAAAAAAAAAATAAATTAAAGCAAAATTATTTTACAATCCGTTTAAAAAATATTTTTTTGTAGGAAAAAGTCTTGCTTTTTGTATTTTTATAGCAAATATAGCAACTACTGGTAAATATTTATGAAATTAAAATTACAACATTTTATTTTTTATAATAAATTCAATCAGTGCTCATCCAGCCGATTTGTCTCTTATTTTTATCATTAAAATGCAGCTTTGATTAATCAATGTAACAAAAAAAAAAAAAAAAAAATAAAAATAAAAATAAAAATAAAAATAAAAAAAGCTCATACGGTCTATGTCACCTAAGCACTACTCTACAATAGGACTTTTATTTACAAATTACTCATAAATAAAAAAATTTTTAAAAAATATATTTATAAAAAGAAAAAAAAAATGAAATGAAAAAAGCAAACTCGAATTAAAAAATAGATTTTGATAAATATTATTATTTCATTGAAGATGAAATGAACTGGTGAATTTTTTTATATCAGTGGTGGTGTTCGGTCGTGGTACATACCAGGGTCGCCAAGGGGCAGGAGGGGGTGGGCAGAGATGCTGGAGCTGCCCATAAGCGAGCTGCTAGGGGTGGCGCCACGATAACCTCCCCCCTCCGAGCCCTGCAATGCCCTACAACCGGTAGTCTGCCGGAATGAATTGGACCTGCGAGCAAGAGAGAGTCAAGTTCAGCATCAGACCTGTGTCACGCTTTTATTTTATACCAGGATGACAACCTTTCTTTCATTGTCTTTATTTCAACATTATTTTCCATGGCCTTTTTATATTTAAATAAAAAAAAAAAAAAATATTTTTTGTCCTTAGATATTATAATTATTCTTATCCAGTGTATTTTATTTTTGCTTCATTTTCATAGACCTCAGGCGCTGAGATCTGCATTTTTTTTATTTTTTAAAATAGAATTTTTTTGTTAAAAATAATTTATGAATTTTTTATCCTGCTCTAAAGCGTTGAAACTCGTAAGGTTTAGAACCTTTTCTCGTGAATAATTAACTACGGCTTAATAACAAAAATGTGTGTACTCTTTTGTATAAAAATAATGATGTCATTCAGAAAAAAAAAAAAAATCAATAAAATTGCTTTTTTTTTTTTTTTTTTTTTCCCTATATGAAATCATTTTTATACTTTCATTTTTTGGTAATAACTCAAATTCAATTATTCTTGGCCATTGAAAAATTGTTTTCACCTTTTTATCTGCAAATTATTAGGATAAAAAAAATTGTTTTATTTATTTATGAGGATATATATATTTTTTTTTTTTTTTTTTTTTTTTTTTCAATTGGAATAAAAAATCACAAGTAATAAAAGAAAACGTATTAACAATTTTTTTCAAATAAATTTGCAGATGAACAGATAAGAATAAAAACAAAACCTTGAAAGGAAACTTTTTGTGAGAAAAAATAATTAGACCTTTATAATTACCAAAAGAAAGATTAAAAAACAAAGTTATTTCGTTAGTCTATTGAATAAATAAATTTATTTAGCATGCTAAATTTAAAAACAGTGTAAAAGCTTTCGCCAGATTGTGCGATTGCCGCGAAAAAAATATCTTATCGGTGATTAAGTGCCGGATGTACTGGAATACATACTATCATTATTTATTTTTTTGCTAAATATTTACAAGGATAAAATAAAAATAGTTAAATTAAATAATTACGGGTGTGTCGTACGATAAGGGTGTAACTTTTTATCTAGATCGTGACTAATTTTTATTAAACTAATAATGATAAAAGACATTATTTTTTTGTCATCTAAAAATAAACACATGTAGAATTATTGCGATTTTTAACTTAGGGACAGTGAGGACGTTAATCAGGAAATTGACGAAATTAGTTTAAAGTCAGATTAAATAATAATAAAAAATTAAGTGAACAATAAATAAATAATAAGACTCGAATTTACATAAATAAAATAATTCAAGTTAAGGGAAACATTTATCATTCAGGTGATTTAATTCGTGCCTGATGGTGAGCCTGACTCCCCGCCACCCATTTCCCGAGCAGGCAACACTCTAATGTTTAATTAAGTATTTTTAATAACAATACACTTGATTTTGTGCGTAAATAATTTAAAATAAAATATAAAAGTATCTAAATTATTGATTGGTTAAAATAATACATTTAATAAACGCGTTAATTTACAAATAAAATTATTGCAAAAAGTTATTTAATTACATTTTATTAAAAGTGTTACCCGCCGGAAATCAATTTCACTTATTATTGATTGAATAAATGAAATTATATTTTTTCACGCTGGGTTTTTATTTACCAAAGTTTAATTATCAGAATAAATTTAGTTACATTATTCTATACTCAATACTTTGGGTAGTGTTATGTTTCACCGTGTAATAGCGGGAATCGAACACGGGACTTTCGATTACTAAGCAAGTATTCTGACGAATAAGCTATTTCGGAATACACTTACTCATCGACTAAATAAATAAATATATATTTAGAAGTTTTAAAGTCCAAAAATAGATCACTAAATTTTTTAATTACTTTAAATAATATATTATTATTATTATATTTTTGCAATAATTTTGACCGATTAAAATTTAAATATTTATTTAAAAAAAAAAAATAATAATTTAATAACAATAAAACAAACAAACATGGTGAGACAATTTATCAGGTGTGCAATTTCATGGAAAAAAAAAAAAAAAAAAAAAAAAAAAAAAAAAATTTATAAACTTTTCAAACCAACAGTTGGGTACCAGGGGACGCAATAATTTACTCATGCACTATCTACGATACTTCGGGTTGTTAAATTATGATTAAATCATTATATTTTAATTAATAATTATAATTTATATTTAATTTTCAAGTTAAAAAGCTAAATAAGCTTTTGGTTATTTTATTTTATTGAAACTGACCTTTGAAATGTTTGTCGCTTCACGTAATTATCTCGGACAAATTCAACAATTTGTTTCTGGGTTTTGCCACTATACCTGTAACAGAAATAGATAACACATATTAATTATATCAATTACGAATAGTAATTATTAGTAATAATAATAATAATATTACTAATTATAAATTTATAAATACCTAAAGGAAGATCCACGACTCAAAACCCGTGTTTTCTGACGTAATACACGTTTAACAACAGAACAACGAAAGAAACCGTGATTCTCGACACACTTTTTCCAAAAATTTTTACACTCATTACGACCATCAAAAAAAAACTCAACCGTGTCTTTATAATAACCGTAACCTTCAGGGTGCAACTTAATTAAAAAACGTTTCCTCTTGAAGCTTATTTTACGGATTTTCGCCCAACTGAATGTGTTAATCTTGGTATAACCTTGGAAGACCACAATGCCCATGTGTGCTACCGCCAAATTCAATGGAACTCCCTCATGATCCTAAGCATAACACATTAACCATAATCAATACATTCCTATTAATGATCAATTACGGAATTATTAGTAATTAAAAATAAAAAATTCTTACCTTGGCTTGATGCATTTTCATACCGTAAAGTTCGCATCGTCGAGCTGTTTCTAATAAATTTAAATCTGCTTCCGCTGGCGACTGACCTCTGTAATAAATTTTATTAATTTTATTTACGATAAATATTTTATTAAATAAATAATAAACTTACGAATGCTTTTTATGATTCTCCATGATTCTTCTTTCAAGTTCATGATCCTGATGCGGCACAAATTTGTATGTCGACAAATAAGTATGATCTGGATAATCTTCTATTACGTAATCACCGCATTCAGCTGAAAAAGGAAGAATATAATAATAATAATAATAATAATAATAATAATAATAATAATAATAATATTAATAATAACACAAATGGTTAAACGGTTGATTCAAATTTATCGCACGTAATAATTTATAAAATCTTTTTATACATACAAACACTCAGGCATATTTAGCTTACCTTGTACAATATAACTAGCCATTAATGCAGCAGTATTGTCATTACATTGAAGTAACCCGTGTGCAAGATCTCGTTTTATTTGCAAACAGAATAAATATCTTGTGAATTCTTCCTCCAATTGTCCTGGATCCGGTGTATAAAATTTAACACAAAATCTCAATAATGGATCAACCATTGTTAAACCCACTTGTCGACAAACTGGTTTCTCTAAATCCAACCAATACTGAAATGAAAGACGCAACACAACAATAAATCAACTATTAAATATTCCATTTAAACTCCATAACTGTCACTAAAAATACTATCGACTGTTTTATAAATATAACAGCTATTGTCATATCAAACAAACCAGGTAACTTGGTCAAATAATTTTAGAACTACTATTTCGGAGTTGTTTTTAAATATTAAATAAATCCGTAACGTTGAAAAAGATTAATTCTTTAATTATTTTTGTTACCTTAGTTCCATTTGGCTCTTGGTACTCCAACCCGAAGTAGTCAGCCTCCAGTAAATTTAGCTGTTTACATACTTGATCAAACAAAACTCTTCCCAATGCTTTGGCCTGTTAACAATAAATATTAATAATTAAATTAATGAATTTATTTTATTTATATATTTTTTATTTATAGACTCATATTTTATACTTTTTGTTTAAGATAGGGAAGAAAAATAAATAAATCAATAGGTCACTTTCAGCCTGCATCTTTATATTATACCTTCATTTACTGTTTTATGCATTACGCCCGATAAGTTATATGCTCTAATAGTCTATCCTTGTGGAAATTATGTTATATATATATATATATGTATTAAGGGATACGCGTACAATACGTCTATATGGAGAATTTATAGTAGATATAAGTGAATCACGGGTTAAATCCATCAAACAATTGGTCCTTTTCATCATTCATTAGGTTTGCCTTACTTCAAGGTTCTTTCAAACATGTTTTTTTAATTAAAACGGTCTCATTACTGACAGTATTAAATAAAAATTAAACTTTTAAATATTGAAATTGTTTTTTTTTTTTTTTTTTTATACAAAAAAATTACTGAGCTTATCGTTAATTTTATTGAGTTATTATTAGCTAATATAAATTATTCAAATCAAGTTTAATTTTTATCATTTTTCATATAAATTTTTTTATTTATGATAAATATCTTGTTATATAATTTTTTTTTTTCCGATAGTTGAATAAGTTATTTTAAGTTTATTTGTCAAATATTGAATATCACACTTGATTTGACTTGTATACAGCGATCGACCTCTTTAATTTGAAACTACCAGACATCTGACAATTATTATAACTTTATGAATAAATAAAACGTTAAAAAAATTAAATAAAATAGTAAAATTATGAAATATGAGCATCGAAATAAATTTTTTAATACTCTGGAAGCCATACACAAGATTCATTAAACGTTGAACGAGGTATTGAAGAATGACAGAAGAGTGCTTGTAAGTTAGACCCATTGACCTCAATAATCGATCATTTTTAAGCGCTTTTGACGCACGTTCAATTGTAATTAATTTAAAATACTTTTTTTTTAATCTAAAAATGGACTATTATCAATAATATTAGAGTAATACCTGAACTTGAAACATTGTAACTTTATCATCAAGCATTTGTACTCTAACGGCAAGCATTTTTCCAGTTTTACGTGGTGTTGCAGGCGGAGTCCGACTTCCACCGTCGACACCAGCCGGAGTCGAGTGGCTGTGTGGCATCTTGGAGCTTCCCATCATGCCAAAGTTGTTATCGATATCAATCATTTCGTTATTTTAAAGATAAAACATCCGAGTTATATTACTCGTCACCTCCCGCGGAATCTTTTGTCCTCGTCAATGAGCATTCATCAGCTCGGCTGTCGTTACCTCGTGTTAGGTCGTCATCTTAAAATAAAAAAATAAAATAAATAAATTAAACTTGCTCATAAGGCAGATCTAACAGCAGGATTCACTTTAATAGAGGAGAGTAACACAGTGAGAGTAAAATAAACAAACAAATACAAACTCTGAAAACTAAAAATAACTGGTAAAGTCCCATCAGTCGATTTCACCAATGGAACAAAAATCACCCAAAGATAAAAGGCTCATTTTTTTTAGTTTACAGATAAAAAGAACAAAAAAAAATATAGAACATGTCACTCTTTACTCTTCACGACTCTGATGTAACCGATAACAGTCAATAAAAAAAAAAATTCCGAATACTTTCTTTTATCATATTGAAAAGAGGGGAAAAAAAAAAAAAAAAAAAAAAAAAAAAAAAAACTACAAGTTAATTAATCATTATACCTACTAAAAGGACCAGACATTATAAAATTTTTTTGTTAACAGAAATAATTTGCATATCCGAAAAAAAAAAATGTATAATAAAAAAAAAATGCATATGGAGCTTTTTAAAATTCTTTTTTGTTTCAAATATTTGCATTGTAAATATTCAAATTACAAAAAATTGTGAAATTAGGTCACCATAAAATTTTAAGTACCAAAATAATTAAAAAATAAAATAATTTCACTAGCTCACTTTGAAACGTCATAATTTAAAAATTACGTTATAAAAATAAATGCATAAATCGAAGGCCACGCACCTTTATAACAATAATAAAAAAAAAAAACAATAAATAAATAATAACAATAATGATGATAATAAAAAAGAGAAAAAAAAAAACAGAGTACGTTAAAACTTGTTCATGTTCATGGAGATCCGGTGGAGTGTGAGCTAGAGTTTAACACTGAAGGAGCACGCCCCAAAACACCAAGACATTCAGATACCGGAGAGAGACGGACCGAACCAGAAAGAGAGAGAGAGGAAGAGAGAGAGTTCATTGATCACACTAGTCCTGCTACCCGGCATCACATCCTCAACAAATAATAATTATTATTTTATATCACGTCACACTAGCTCCTGATAAGAATAATTATGATTAATAATTACAATAGTAATAAACGCACTGTATTGTGAGGACTTACGTTAACCTCCGGTGAAGCTTCCGCGGAAGCTTATTTTTCAGCTATTATTTGTCAAATACAATGACCAAGCACACGACTGGTGCGTCAGTATGAAACGGTGATGCCCGAACCTGAACCAAACACCCACAGAACCCTGAAGCCTCCCCACTCTCTTTTTGTATCATCACACTAGCATCGCGCACCGACGACTACTAACTCCATCTTTGCTGAGTGAGTATCCTTTCTATATATGATATATTATGGATGTATATATTAGATATGTGTGATGGTATGAATATAAGAGTTCAGTGGTTATCAACTTTCTTCTTATATCTTGTAAGTATTATATATATTTACTTGATGGTTTTCTTGGATGTATTGGGTTTAGTCTGCTTGTATCTATGAAACATTAGTATATAGCTAGTGGTGGCTGGCTGGCTGGTGGTGTTTGCTGGTATTAGTAGGTATCACAAGTATTGCTGGTTGATACCAAGTCCAAGTACTACTTGCATTGATAATCACTCTCCATGACGTGATGACGAATAACCACTTGTTTATTTTTATTTACAGTTATTCGTATAGTCGACTCCGACCGACCAGTATGTTGGATTTGTTGGATTTGTTGGATTTGTTGGATTTGTTTGATGTTAGATCTTGGAGTTGGACATCTAACCAATTAACACATTATAAAATAGACAATAGAATATTTATTATATATCGATGATCAGGTTGCGACGTAATATTTAACAAGTTAACATCACATAAAAATGGTATTACATTAAAATAATTAATTTAAATTAATGCAAATGTATAAAAGTAAGTATTTGATGAATGATAATATGTTAAGGTAAATACATATGATATAGAATGACAGGTATATATAGCAAAGTAAGCCAGCTGGATTTTGGATTAATAATTATTTAAATGATGATTTTTTAAAATGCATATGAATTTATATGGAGTATAGGTATATGTTGTTTGCGCAGACGCTAAATTGCAGTGTAATGCGCGTTTCAAGCAGTCTCGAGTAATGGATTCATGCTCTCTGGTGTATATATATGTATATAGGATGGATGGTATATACTCTAATACTTAAAATAATATGCCGGGTAGGTATATTGAGTTTAAAAGTTTTTACTCTCATTTAGCGGATCCACGTCGTACACGTCGTGGTCTGGTATATAGTGATGTAACTCTGCTGGTTACTTTGCAACTGGATAGTATTCGAGTTGAGGTTTAGTGTCACTGGCACCGGCATTGGTCTACTGCAGAGAGTTTATATGTATGATGCAAAAGCATTATTGAATGCACTGATATTTTTTCCTAGCAACCAGACCACACCCTTTAATTGAATTTTTTAAATTATTTTAATTTTAATTTTAATTAATCGAGTCAAGTTATTGCCGAGTCTTTTTTATAATATTAAAATGATATGTAACATAAAAAATTAATATTATGATGATGATGATGATGATGATGATGATGATGATAGATAATTGGGTCTAATCATTCAGCTGACATAAGAGAGCAAGACCTCGCTTAATCCAATGACTAACTGGTAATTCCGTGTCAAGCAGAATCATCAAGACGTAATTTGTTGAATGCCCCGTTGTTTTAAGTGTTCCAAATCGCTCGGATGTTATGTACAGTGGGCATTCATATCGAATCGGATTATGCCGATTTATATTTATTATTTCTGTTGATTCTGTTGGCTTCAGCCAGATACTCCCCATTGGATCGTATAAAATTTTCGAATAGCTCTCAGCTAGGGCTTTTCTCGATGAATCCCAACGACCACCGGTTAAATATAATCCGTAGATGTAGACACCGTCTACTGGGGCTGAATTTAACTCGCCTGACATAACCTGTTGATTAAAAATTTCATTTTAGCTTTTAGCTGATGGTTTTGTTTAATCCGGATAACTAAATACCTCGAAATCAAATTCTATTTTGTCGATTGATATTTTGTACTTTCGAGCAAAATTTTGCATAGCTCCAGTCAAAAATCCATGTACAAAGGAAAAACCAGAAATCCAAAATTTATCGGGTTTACCGTGATCGACCCAATTTTTTAAAAATTCTAAACGTTTTATCAAATCACTGACAAAATTACCGAGCGATTTCAATGAAGGATACGCGCTGGACTTTATCCATAATGATGGAATTTTATTACTGAGTATTTCATCATAAATAATCTATAAATAAATTCATCATTCATCATAAATTTTCTAGATCTCGAAATAATAAATATAAAAATTACTTACTTCCAAGTCAGTGGTCATAACAATAATTCCCTTGATAGCGTTCTCAAGCATTTCAAGACTCGTACGAATAACACCTAACAAATTATTGTAACGTTCTAATTCTTGAACTAATACCGTGTTCATAGATTCATCATAACGCACTGGGTAATTTTTCACTGCAGCTTCAAGGTCAAATAAATCCGGAAGTCTTTCATAAATATCTTGCTTTATTACCAGGAGCGATTCATCTTGCTTAGAACCAAAATCCCCTGTAGCATTAACTCCACCCGCAAGAGACACTGTACCAGAGATTTTCCGCAAAGACTCCAAAAAAAGTCTCGATGTTTCCAAGTCTCGGGTAATCCTAGCATTCGCATGCAAACCAAAGACTTCCGGCTGAGGATCCAGTGGCATTCTCTGGATTTGTTTAACATACTCTTGGTAATTATTTTTCCGAGGTACCCAGTAACATTCATCAGAGCTCTCAGTTAATTTGTACTGGTCATTTGATATTATTTGGTCATTGTAATAATCCTGAAGAATCGTTTGCAAACAACGGCGATCACGATCATCCGTAACACGCCCACCGTAATTACACTCTCCAGTTAAATAAGTAATTGCTTTCAACGGCAATTCATTGTATTGATTGATAAATATTTCCAGCTGAGTTATAGAAATTTCAAAGTCTGACTCGTTGAAGCCGTAAGGGATGTTCCAACCCTGAGGACCGTAATTTCTTCGTTCTTGTATCACGGCATGAAAGAAACAGAGCCCGTAAATTAACCGGGCGAATATTTTATCTTTTCCCGGACATCTGTCAAAAAATAGATGATTTTTCAGCGGCTCTGACGAATACAGTCGCATTAAATTTTGCTGGAGTCCTTTGGGCGGTTCGTTTGTCATTTTAATAGCGTTTTCTAGAATAGAAATGGGAAATTTTGGCGTAGGATAACTTGTTAACCATAGACGAAAATTAACAGAGGTATTAGTTGAGTCAAATTCCTCGTAAATTTTTTCCAATTGTGGCATCCATGATCCGGCCAAATGACAGTTCTGGAGGCAAACCCAGTCGCCATTTTTCTGCGCGTCTCTAATTAATTTTTCAGCTCGCGCACCCTGACCCTGTCCCAGAGAAACAGAACTGAACTTGTCTTGATAATTCATTGCCGTTGCAAAATTAAATAGCGACGCAGTGGGATCTGAACCCTGGGATAAAATAAATATCAAAGGATTCAACGAGTTTGAGTCGTTATATGATTTAGTAAGGTCAAAAGTAACCGGCAAGACAAATTTACTTCCCATTCCTTGCTCGATAAATTTAATCATCGTTTGCAAAACTTTATCCGGATGTATTATTTTCATAATTATTAATTTATGGAATTCCGTGAGGTCTTTGTCCCAAGGCGTTGGCAATTGAAAATTAATATCTGCATGATAAAAACTTTTCCAAGCATCCAAGTTATTCAAAAAATGTGATAGAAAATTTTTAAATACCCCTAGAGAATTCAACTGACATAATTCTATCCAAGATTTGTCTGGTAACCAATCAACCGGGTTCGTTGTTTTCTTTACATTTATTCCAGATAAAAATAAATTCAATTCCTCTATAGTTATTTCCTGGCGGTCAATTAATATTGTTGTGTATAAAATAAATCCGTATAGCGGTTTATCTTTTTCAAATAATGACCTGCAGATATTCTGGTAGAGATTATACGTAAAAGTATCTTGTAAAAATTTTAATCTCTTTTTCAATAATTTACTTTTATGAGCATTCTCTATGGTAGTGACATAAAGATTTATAAACCACGTTAGTGAATACTGATACATTGGATCGATATTGGGGAGATCTGTACATGTGTAGTAAAGCGCTGAAGAGTATTTAGCAATTAACGCATAGTCATTCCTCGCAATTTCTATTTCTCGTTGAGTTTCTTCGGAAGCTTTTTGCTTTTTAATTATATCTGCGGACAATATTTTAGAGGAATCTAGTATTCCCACGGCCTCTTCATTTTCAAGAATTTCCGAACCCGTACCTGAAGATAGTGTTTTCAGGATACTATCTTCAACTTGTTTGAGTGCTTTTTGATTAGCTGCTCCCTCAACTATTAGGTACTCCCGTTTTTCTTGCAATTCTGGTCGTTCTTTCGCCACGACAATCCCCAAAAGTTGATCCTCAAGCGCAATTTTAGTCAGAGAAAAATTAATAATTGTAACTTTATTGAAAATCTCCGGTACGTAGTGAGGATTACGCAATTTGGTGGTCAAATATAGTCGAAATTTATCATCATACTTGATTATTTTCTCGCCAAGAGTTATATAAAACTCTCCGGCGACTTTGTAGATATTTTTCATGAGTATTGGATCCAGCGAAGCGTCAAGTTGTTCATAAATATTTTCAATCAATACCGGGTAGCCGAACTCAATAGACCTCTCTACAACAGTCATATAATTTTTATCTGTTAATTTTATGATTTCAACATTACTGAATCTCTCCATCGTGCGAATCCATCTATTAGCTTGGCTTTGTGGATCAATAAACAAACTCCAGCGTTTGCTGCTATAATTTTTATCTGTTAATTTTATGATTTCAACATTACTGAATCTCTCCATCGTGCGAATCCATCTATTAGCTTGGCTTTGTGGATCAATAAACAAACTCCAGCGTTTGCTGCTAGCCATAATAATAGCATTTTCCGTTGAAAATATATCCCTAGGCAAACCCAAAATATTCCACGTATTTACTTGCAAATCGTTGGACAGAATTTCGACAAAGGAAAAATCTTCTGAAGAGGGAATTTTTAAATTTTTAATGTACTGAATCCATTTATCGATATTGTTTACTCGATAAACCGATGTGAATGGCGCCAAGTAAGATATTATAGCGCAAGATATTAAAATATCTCCCGGCAGAGTTTCATAAGATTTTTTTAAATTTTCAGCAGTTTTTAGCCAGCGACGTTCCTCGCCTCCCAACCCACTGATTAATTTTTCAGCTCGTATTAATTTATTGCGACATTGCGACAACACATTTTCAAGATTTATTTTCTTTTTTAAAATTTTTTCCAGATTCTCTTTCAAGACTGTTAATTTTCCAGTTAACTCAGCACAAGCAATACGCTTCTCCTCCAAGATAATCATCGTATCCAAGTACTCTTTTTGGACATCTTGGAGCTTCTGTTTTTTCGGAGCTATTTCTCGAGCGACTTTATCATAGAGAATCATTGCACGAACCCACTTGCAAAGTCCTTCAGCAGCTTGTGAAGCTTTCGCTACAACACGCGGCTCAAAATTTTTATCCGTCAGATAAATACGTTTTATTGTTTCTATTATTTGCAAAGGAATATTATCTTTATCGTAATTTTTCAGAGAGTCCAGAAACTTAATATCGCTGAGCAATTTTTTGCTGGGCTTCCAGTAGTCCAGGACTATTTTTCCTGTGTCTGGTGAAGGTTTTCTGTCGGGCGGAATATTGAGCATTACACAAACAGCAGCCATTACTAATTTAATCCCAGCTGGTGGATTTTTCATAGTTTTTACCAATGAAATATCTTTGGGCTTGAGAGTATCAAGAGCTTTAAGAGCTTCTTCCAAAACAGGAAGCGCCGAAGCAAGATCCGCTTCACATTCAATTTTCAATGCCCCAGCAATCTCAGCTTGGTTATTAGCAACTTGTTCATCTTTCTTAACTTGAATAGTCGCTTCTTCAACTCCCTTACTCTCGTTTTCTATTTGCTTCATAGTTTCAACAGTTTCTCGAGCAGAAGCTTCCAACTGTGGCTTCAAAGTCTCAACATTAATTTTCATTCTTTTTATTTCTTCGGCTGCGAACGCGAGTTTGTCAAGACCATTGACATAACGAGCTCGAGCTTCTGTTATTTCTTTCTGTTTTATATTGATTAGCCTTGCATAATTCCGTATCAAATCTAAGAACCCCGTTGAAGTGATGTACGTTCGCCTTCCGGTTATTTGATAGAACTCTTCAGCGATATTTTTAGCACAGACGTGAAAATACTTACAGGCTATCACTGCGTTAACTTTTACTTGATCATCGACATTTATATCCTTAGTAAACTTAACAGCAACTTGCTCAAGGGCTTCTTCTGGCCAAACTTCAAACCAATCGATAGTACAACAATTCAACAAACTCGGGTATAATCTCAGCCGAGTTCTAAATGACTCTCCTATTGGTGTGAAACACAGCATAAGGTGAAGTTTTTCTTTACACCGGCTTAAAAAGTACGCCAGTACCAAAACGATCGATCCTGTAGAAATTACATTATTATCCCCCTCCTCTTTGGCAGCCGTCGACCGACAAATTTCGATTATTTCTTGTCTCTCCTCGGCATTAAACAAATTAGGAACTTCTCCGGAATTCAAAAGCCCGTCAATGTCGGATAAAAATACTTGCTCTGTGATTTGACTCTCTGAAATAAGAAAAACTAAATCTTTTCCTTGAGCTCCAGACGTTTTACAAATCCTTTTAATATCTTCGTGCCACTCGTTCACGCCATAAGTGCTGGTTATTTCAGGTTGGAATAGGTCATAGTCGGCCATAGCCGCGGCTAATTTAGTCAGTGATTGTCGGCCAGAGCCCCCGACTCCAACCATCAGTAAATTACCTCCTGGTGTCGCCATAATTCTGCTAACACGTGCTAAATGCTCCAAAGCGTAACGAAATACCACAATATCCAGAGCAGTACGATGTGTTAAGTTGTAGTCTTTGAGATACTGCTGAACTATTTGTTGATACAACTCCATCGAGGTTACTTCTTCGTACTTTTTATCCAAAGAATCATCCATAAAATTCCCAAATATCAGACTTTTGAGGCTCTTTTCGGTCAACTGGTCATTTTCTTTTGGCAAGTGACTGAAAATACTTTCAAACGAATCATTAAATATTTTTAAAACTATTTGTTTGATTTTATCAAAGAGCCATAAGTGATCTTCGCTATCTACCAAACGATCTCCAAAAACTCTAAGAGTTTCATGGACCCACAAACGCGTAAACGTAGACTTTGACTCGACAGAATCCTTTTTTAACATAACGCAACCGGTAATTACACGCGCAAAGTCTCTTAGATTGAAGGCATAGTGAGATTTACCTGGTGTGGGTCTTAAATCCTTGATTGCACATTTAAAAATCTCGAGAGTTGCATTCACCATTGGATTTACCGTGACAATTATATCTGAAGCGAATCCATTTCTTTTATAACCCGCTAAAGCGATTGTGGAAAATATTCTCAGAATGCTTTCATCGGTAAATTCGTTGATGGTGAGCAAATTAAAGTGTCTCAAAAATCGCTGATAAATTTTTTGGCGCATTCCCCCAGGTGGACTCATCGCACAAATAAATAGTGTATCGGAAACAGTTATCTTGTTAGGTTCCTTGGAATCATACCAGTAATCATGGTCGAACATTTGTCTCAGCAATTCGATAGCCGGTTGGGCTCCGTAAACTTCTTTGGCAGGCATGTTAACGTCATCGATAAACACCACGCATAAATTACCCTTTCCAGGACCGTAGTGACGTTTTCGACGTTGTAACTTTGAAATTACTAGTTCCTGAGCCAATGCCGCGCTGGTTCGAGCAGTGAATGTTATTAAATTGGGTATGTAATTTTCTTTCAATTTATTTGTCATCAAATCTTGAATGTAAAAACTTTTTCCCGTACCTGTAGCACCGTAAACCAAGAATCTTTTGTTGTGCTTGATATATTGCTGAAATAAACGTTGATATTTTACAGTATCAACAGTTGGTACCAGCATCTGTGAGATACTGGAAGCTTCAACGAGAGTTTCGGTTTTCAGAGCTTCTGAAAATGATTTCCAGTGACCTTTGCCGCGAAAAACGTAATAACTGTCATTAATATCTTCAGAAGGCAGCAAAATAACGTCACGACTGATACTTTCAGGTATCGGTAGACTAGAGTCTTGATTTTTCCAGATATTTGTAAAAAAATCATTGAATTTGCGGTGAGAATCGCGATCCAGAGTTCCTGAAAGTCCCCAAACGATAGAAAAAATAGTCGCTGCTTGAACCCAACATTTAATATTGTCTTTAATTTCTTCCGAATCTTTGTTTCTTGGATCATCTACTGCATCGTCCATGACCATTTTAAATAAATTAAAAGTACTTGTTACCTGATTGATTTGCCCTGCATACAAGGTAACTTTACATTTCTTTCTAATAAATTCTAAGCAAGCATCAATTAACCACTCAAACATGTCTCTGATTATTTCTAAATATCCGTCAGACCAAGAGGGAAGAGTTTTGTACCAAGATTCCGCAACAGGGCGCCAGCCAAGGACATGAGGCTCGATATAAATCATTCCACATCGAGAAACAGTCGCTGGTGAAGCTTGAACCAGGTCCATAGCCTCGAAAATCATCGACATGGTACCGGTCATCTGTATAACTTCACCCGAAGTCAAGCAGAGTTTTTTATTGTCATCTAAAACTGTGTTGAGATTCTCAATCCATACTGCATCGACAGGTCCGTCAAAGATGATCCATTTTCTGGATGAATTTTCATAATTCGTACTGTATTGCCGGAATGCCACGGCACAAATTCCGTCGGTCCATTCTGAAGACACGGGATCAAATTGCCCGTACAATTGACCTATCGTTATCGATTTTGGATTGATGGTAGTATAAATTGTTTTAGCGCCTAGATCATTATGACCCCATTGGGCCATCAGAGTCAATGAGTCTGCTAAAGTATGAAGAACACAAGTTTTTCCACCAGACGGATCCCCTACAAGCATGAATCCGTGTCTCACGATCATCATTTCGTAAGTTTGAATTATTTTCAAGAGGAATCCGTCTACTGGTTGAAGGTTGCGTGACTCTAAAACTTGTTTGATTGCTTTTAAAAAAATTTGATAATTTGGAGAAGGCAATTGTACATCTGGAAACAAATCGGAAATAATTCCCTGAAAAAGTGGAACATCGTGAGCCAGAAATTTAGGTAAATTAACGTCAACTATTGCGCGGAGTAACAAAACAGTTTCATCGGCATCAGGAAATTTTATCTTTAAATTTTGCGCTGCTAACAGCACCGTTTTGACAGCTCGCATTCCATAATCATAGTGAGACTGAGTTGACAATTGCTCGGAGCAAAGTTTGTAAGTAGTTTTTATTTTTAGTGATAAAACTCGTGCATCGTTGAATCCAGATGAATACAGAAATATTTCTCCAATTTTAGAGTAATCAGGAACCATCATCGCGACAGTTCTGAAGAGGACTTTTAGATTGTCAGGAAGCTCAGATCTACCTGCATATCCAGGATTCATGGTTATGCAGACATAAACTGCTGGGTTCAATGATAGTTCCGTTCCTTCGAAGATAAATATTTCCAAGTGAGCTCGTACTGCTTGAACGATACAAAGAATCTGTTGAGCGACTACTGAGAGGACTTCCAGTTCAATGCGATTGAACTCGTCGAAACAAGCCCACGCACCACAAGCAGCTAAACCTTTGAAAAATTTTCCCATATTTTTGTAGTCAAGTGCTTCTGAACAATTGAAGACGACACACTGGACTGCTATTGCTCGAGCTAAATCTTTGGTCGTTTCGGTTTTTCCAGTACCAGCGGGACCTTCTGGAGCGCCATTTAAGTGGAGAGAATACGCTCCAATCAATGTTCGATAGCATCTATTATTATTAAACAAGTGAGATAAAGAATAGCAACAGTTCTATTAGATTTTATCCCACTTATCATCCATGATAAATAATTAAAAATAAAACTTACCGATCAGTTAACGGTGTAATAACAAGTCTGGAACAATTGCCTAAATATTCATAGGCGTATTTAACAGTTGAGTTTATTATTCTAACAAGTACATTGTCTTGCCAATAATAACGTAACTGTGCCAGCCAGTCAAAGTCTGTCTCACTGGTGATTCTTTTGTCGATCAATAGCTCCACTACATCTTGAGCATGAACGTCTATTGTTATTAATGCATTGAGAGTCGTGCGGTTTTGTGTATTCAGTTTACCTAGTTATAAAAAAAAAAAAAGCGTTATTTAATTATTTATTTATTTATTACAAACAAAAATTAACACTAAAATATAATAATAATAAATAGCTATACTTGCCTTTGACTAAATTAACCATGTCAATAATTTGAGCCTTTAGTGTATCGTAAAGCGCCTCGAGAGCAGAAACCGTACGTGTTAAAAGGCTATTAGTAACAGCCAAAGACCAATAAATTTGTGAAACACACAATACAACCTGTCCAGGCCAGATCAATGCCCATTTAACGCGTTCGGTAACTTCGTAATCAAAATAACTGACCATAATTTGATGTTTTATTGTCGTAACCATCTGTTGTTCAACTTTTATAAGCCACTTTTCAACGCACCCCTTTGCCGCATCAGTTGAAATTATTTCCTGGATCATTATTTCTTCCCCGTCATCACCAGTCATCGCGTAGATTTCTCGGTCTTTGTTAAATCCTAATTTGACGATCCCCTCAAAACATTTGTTCAAATGCGGCTGAACACGCAACGGGTCTTTTGTTTCTGAAAGGATTTCCAACATGTCGTCGTTGCTAAGAAAGAAAAATCGTGGAAAAAACAATCGCTTTTTCTCCAAGTACTCTACAACTCCTTGATTTATTTTTTCCATTAGTTCATTCGCTTTTTCAAGTTTTTCCAACATTCCCAATGAACCTGCCGACTCTTTAACCCTCGGATCTTTTCCTACAGATTCCATTATTTCACAAAAAGTCTGATTAACTTCCGAAAACATGGAAGCTTCTTCTGGCAACTGCGCAATTATGTCAGGGCTTGTAAAAATAGGCAATAAATAAATCCACTGGACTTGTAGTCTCGACCACTCGTCTATAGTATTTTTAATACGCACAAGGACCTCGTAAAAAATTTTTACATCATTTTCAATGGGTTTTACAAAAGCAGAACCTCGCATTCCTTGAAGTTTTACTGTGTGTTCTTCCAAAATCAGCATTACATCGTCCAACTGGGTGAGAATAGTCACATCAGAATCTTTGTAAATCATCGTAGTGAACAAAACATTATCCCACTCTTGCTTTATTTTATTAAACAGATCCACCAGCGCTGCTTCTTTTGAAGCGTTAACACTTATAGCTTCATATTTACCTACGTCTTTCATCAAATCCTGATTAATTAATTTTCTAAATGTCGTTCCAGCGTCAGGAGTAATATCATAACCAGCAATCAACGACATTTCATCCCAGTGTCTTTGATTCAACGCAGGATTTACCAGACAAACCAATGGCATGTATTTCTTTAACCATTTGATGCTTTCCAATAATTGATGGCACAAATTCATCGGCGCAGGCTGGTTCAGAGGATCTGGATCGTCGACGGAGCCTGAAAAAATGTAAGGATAACCAGTAGCAATCTGAATTTTTATTTTAGTTCGATATTCTTTGGAGACTTTGTTAAACCAAGCATAATAATCAGCAGTGCGATTTTCAATGATCGAAGCGTCTAAAAATTCAAAAGGTCCGTCTAACCAGACTCCAGAGTCTCGCTGCCATTTTCGAGCCTGATAAATTAATTCATAGAAAGGTATAATTATGTCCTTGAGCTCTTTTATTCGAGGAAAATACGTTTGAGGAAAATTAAAAGTACTTTCCTCATTATTAATCCACTTTACTTGGTCATCAAGACGATCTAAAGATCGTACCAACTTTCTCATTTCTTCGATATAGTCGAAAATACGCTCAGAATTATCCATCAGATCCATTATTTCTAGATGAGTAAATAAATCTTCAATAGATGTTATTAAATTGTTCTTGCGAGACTGTAGATTTTCTTCTAACTTAAATTTCATTTGCTCGTATCGGAGATTGCCTTCCTCAAAGATTGGCTTTATTTTGACGAGCCAATTGACCGTTTCACGATTAAGCTCAATGTCATCGTAGTCCAGTGTAGTCATTTCAATTACAGACAGCATTTTAGACACCGCAAAGTTTATCTTTTCCTCCATTTCTTCCATAAACGTTGTCGTTAACGTTAGCATATGCTTTCCCAGTTCCAGCAACTCTTTGGTTGTTTCTGGGGTGTTCAAAACTTGACTTTTGACTTTTTCAAAAGTCGAACAGATTTCATGATTGAATTTACGCTGCTTTTGAAGCAGTTCTTGGATAATATAACCGCGAAATATTTCGGTGTAATGTTTTAGGCCACTTTTACCTGGGAATTGTGAAATTCTTATGTCTTCCAAGTATTCATTATTTGGCAGACCGTCGATTTCGGTAATTAACTTTTTGAAATCTTCTAACTTAAAAGCTCCTTCCTGAAAACTGTAATCACAATCTATAAAATTTCGAATTTCTGATTGAGCTTCCGCGCTGTAGATTACTTTAAATTTACTCTGAAGATTTTGTACGTAAATGTCAATGGGTTCCCAGTAATTTTCCAAAATTTTGGAGAGTCTTGAGTAGGACTGAAGCATATACCACTCGGGAAGAACCGCGGAGATAAATTCTTGATTTTTCATGTCAACCCAGGATTCAAGTGGTTGTAATTGTAAACCAGCAGAGGCAATCTCATCGATAAAATAATAAAAACGAGAAAAAAAGTAATCCTTAGTTGGTAATGTAATCAGATCGTTGTTTTGACATTTTAAAATGATGGATAATGATGGCCGGATTGAGTTATCTTCGAGCACATTCAGCAGATCCGAGATGCTTGTCATTAAAATTTTTATTATCTGGTACGCTAATAATGTAGACGCTGATTTTATAAATGAAGGTATCATATTTTTTGGTATGTCATTCATGTATTTTTTAGTTGTCACCAGAGTCACTATGTGCGTATAATAACTCTTAATGATCATCGACGTGTCATTTTCTATATTTTTATCAACTAAATCACAGAATCTAAAAAAAAAAAAAAAAAAAATGTTAATTAAAATAAAATTATTGATATATTTGTTAACGAAAATCTTTACTCAAAAAAATCTAAAGTCCCTTGGAGACGGTAACGTCGGAAATCAAAAAGAAGAGAAGGTACTTGTTCATGCAGAAAAATATTTTTAATCAAATTGTGATGGTGAAAATATTTGGACTCAAGTTTTTCAATGTTTTTTAAAAATTTATCTCGATAAATTGTATGACCATCAAATTTGAAGCCTGGTTCTTCTAATGAGGTGAAATTTTTTTTATATATTTTATAATTTACACCAAAGTCATGCATTATTGCTTCATAATATTTTTTTATTTCTTCCAGGTGGCTTTTGAATAACTTGTGATACTTTTTACGTAATCTCCGAGGTATGAGAAAACTAATACTATGTTCCCAGGTCTACAAGCAATGAAAAATAGATAAGTTGAGTAGTTTTTCCACTAAAAAATTTTTAACGCAGATTATAAATAAGTGATTTAGTACAGGAAGTAATCCAGTGATAGGAAGATTGTATGCAAAATTATGAAATTTTTCTACAATAAATTGTTGCTTAGGGATTAAATGACACTGATGCTGAGTTTGATACTTTTGAATATTGTTTTCTAATTTAATTTTTGTATTGATCGCTCTAATTTCCATCATCTTTTCCACTTGGCGGGAGCGTATCTTGTATATTATGACAAAAAATAAATAATTTATATACATATCCAATAAAATATTTATAAACTACAATCGGATGTTTGTAAATTTTAATAATATACACCTTATCGTTAATGTAATATAAACAAAATAAATAAATTTATAAATCGTCGACTTATAACCTCGTCGCGCGACATATTGATACCTTATCGATGTGGAATTTGCTCAGATATTTTTTTCCCTCCTCCATTTTTGTTGTAGATTCATTCAATCGTCGTAATCTATATATTTTAGGGTTTTTTTTTTTTTTTTATTATTATTCTTTAATTTATTAATTTATCAAATTCTGATGCATTTTGTGCATTGTTGATATTTTATTTTTAAGAGTAAATTATAAAAAAATTATACTTACTATTAAAATTTTATAAGATTGGCGGGCCTGCGCATGTGCACAATTTTAAATATGGCCGCTGTGTGTTATTTGTTTTCATGCCTACAAAACGTCTAAAAATTTCTGTCAAATATTGAAAAATATAATTTTATTATCTATTAGTAATAAATTTAACCATCAATTAAGTTGTTTTCATAAAATGGAAGAACAAAAAAATACTCTAGTTGATGTTTCTTGGAAATTTGGTGGTAAATAACCTTTGATTTAAATATTTTTTATTTTAAATGTAATTTATTTTTTTTTTTTTTTTTTTTTTTTTTTTTTTTTTTTCCAGTAACCACATCAAGTAGCGAATCAGACAAAGTAGGAAAAACATTTTTGCAACTAAAATTACAATTAAACAATGAAGGTAAAATGAAAGATGTTTTCACAGAGATGACTCTAACTCAGTTTTACAAATTTATTCATGACCTAGAACAAGCAAAGAATAATTTAGAATTGCTGTCGTAGTTGATAAATAAACCATGTCATATTTGAAAAAAAAATTACTTTTATTTAATAAAAAAATTTCTATTTATATACATATTTATCACATACATAGTATAATCAGTATAAAAATATAATTATTTTGAGAAAATATAAAAATTATACTGATAAAATATTTTTAATGAAAATTACTGATTAATTAAACGACTATATAATATACGCTGTAGTATAAGTATTGCATATGAGAGATATAAATGTAATATTTTCATTATGGGTATGAATTTGTCAGGAACACGTCAATGCTCTTGATAATTGGATATACCTAATCCTGCTGTTGTAGATACTTGGTTTTTTGTTTTGTCAGCTCAATATTAAGTGGATTGACCCATTATCTTATTAATTGGTAATTGGTAATTAATTAATCAGAGTAACTAAATACATCTGGAAAAAAAAAATTTTTTTTTTTTTTTGATAATTAATGGGGTATCATCAAACTTTTAATATAAAACTAGATTATTAATCTCATCAGTATTTTTATATAAACATTATTATTTTAATTATTTTTAGTTTTCGTAAGAAAAAATTATATTATCACTATTTTGTTATTTAATTGTTTTGTCATAAATATCAAATACTGATAAAAGTGATAAATTAATTTTTTAACGTCATAGATTAAAAGTTTTTAATTAAGAAAAAAAAATAAAATAAATTTACAAAAAAGGAATAGCAAAAGGAATAGACGAATGACGAACAACGAAATTATTAATAAATATTTATTTGGAAAAATATAAATTTTTTTATTTAAATATTTACAAAATATATTATTTTTTTACAAAAATTTTTAATATATTTATATTCAAATTATTTTATTAAATAAAATAATAAGATTTCGTTTTCGCCTTCGACTACGTGCAGAAGCATAACAAGTGTTAACTATATCTCAATATACAGGATTAGTTTATCTAAAAAAAAAAATAATTAATGCGCGACAAATGGGACACAAGTGCCATCAACAATAACAGCAAAAGTAGTATAGAATGTACAGCAGCAGCAATATTTAATTTATGTTAGGAAAAAATAACTACAAAGAGTAACTGGGATAGAGGATAGAGGATCGAGTACAAATGCGGTCAATGGACTATCTACGTGCTCAAATGCTAGCAAACTTTATCATAAATTGTATTTTATAAATTAATAATCATAAACGGTCTTTGTACTATTAAAGTGAGCGAATTAGATTGGACTAAATAGCTAAAACAATTACTTAAACCGTTTAGATTAAACGTGTCACTCTATATCTTTAAGACCAGACAACTCTTTTAATTTTTAGCTGGATAAAATTATCTATGAATGTTTAAAAAATTTAAACAACAATTATCTTACTAGTTGATAAATAAATTGTATAACAATAATAACAGCTCAGAAAAATAAACTTTAGAAAAAAAAAAAAAAATATCTAACAGTCTTTTAGACTAAAAATACCGACAAGCAGTCTTAATAAATATTTCAATAACTAATTAATTAATCAATCAATTAATCAAAATTCACGCATTTGTACATAAAGATTCGAACAGACACTTGTTTGAAATAAATTAGTCATATGGAGATTAGGATATTTTAGAGGACGTAGGGGTCTACGTTTCAAAAGAGGACTCAACGTAGTTCCTCTCTGATTATTGGGTTCGGCTAGTGCTAAAGCAGGATTCTTCATCGAGGACGAGGACGAGGACGAGCCGTGGTGTTTCAGTGCATCGGGTTCAGCGGTGAACTTGCCTATGTCTGCTTTGTCGCGAATCAACTCCAGGACGGGGACGATTGCTCCCAAAAGAGGACGTCTGGATGGCTCGCCAGCCCAGCATTGCTCCATTAGTTCCCAGCATTCATCATCGAAACTAGCAAGACGTTCTGGACGTAAGCCTAATTAAATAATAATAATAATAATAATATATATATATAATTATGTTTTTATTAGAGACTAACCTTTGCGGACACTGGTCCAGAGCTGTTCTTTATTGTGAAACTGCTCAAAGGCAAACGGCATTTTGGTATGTCCAGCACAAATATACCAGAATAAAATCCCAAATGCGTAGATGTCTACACTGCTGTCATACCGCCCAGACAATAATTCAGGAGCCATATGAACAGGAGTCCCAACAACACTTCCACTCATCATGGCCTCGGTGATACAGAAGCCCAGATCAGTTAACTTGGCTCGGTTTTCCGTGTCCAGAAGAACGTTTTTTAACTTAATATCTCTATGTACCAGGCCTTGAGAATGAAGATACCGAATTCCCTCGAGAACATCGATGGCAATCTGTATTCTGGTGATCCAGGGTAATCCGGCGCGGATCCCACAGTACAAATCGCGACTCATCCGATCAGTGATCAGCAAAACAGCAGCCCCACCACCTCCATAGCTGTAATCAATAACCGAACCTCTCAATTTGACAATCCTCTTATGATCTGGAATGGATCTTGTGTAGTAAAACTCCATGGCCAGATCATTCCAGTGTCTTTCATCTGGTGGTACCACAGATTTAACAGCACAAGAACCTGGCGCTCCAGCCCAAGCGTCACAGGCAAACACTACACCGTACTGTCCTCGTCCGATTTCTTTTCCCTGATGCGGAATACCGTATCTGACCATATCGGACATGGAGGTTGACTCTAGTGCGAGTTTTGCCAACCTGGGAGCGTGTATTTTTCTTATAGCAACTCTCTGCTCTTCAGTTCGCTCCAATTTACCGGAATAGTGATTCTCCAAGGACCTGAGTGCTGCGTGAAAGGTATCGTGGGATGATTTTATTTTATCTCTAAATTGGGTGGATATAGTACGTGCTAATCTTGTTGGACAGAGAGAATTAAGAACGTCTATTGTGACTCGTTTGCGCCAAGCTTGGTCGAGTGTCGGGGTCGGTGACCATGGCAATGGCAAAGACTTTAACAGTTGTCTGAGTCGCTCAAGAAAAGAATGGACTAAAGATGGCGAGGAGTTATGTAACTCGACGTTGTAAGCCGCAGATAATATCTGCTTCAAGGCGTCACTCGCCAACAAATTTGCGTCATGGTTATTAGAGTCGTAACTTTTTTCCAACTCAACCAAACAGCGTTGCAGAGTACCCACAAAAGTTTCCCTCAGACAATTAACAGATGTAACTAGTTGCCGTGCTACTTTCTCACTCAGACGGCTCAAAACTAATCTCTGTACTTCTGTTGTCGCTGTTCGAACTGTCTTACACCATTCACGGCGACACTCATCCTGCTCATTGTTGCTTAAATTATTATTGTTTTGATACCGATATGAATCATTACTCAGTGACGATAAGTCTTGTTTCATTTCTAGTATGATGTTTTGAATCAGTTCCTAAAAAATAATCAATTGATTTATTTAAAATTAAATCTCTCATCAGGAGATTCTAGTGAAATTATTATTTATTTAACTTGACAAATAAATATATTATACTATTTTTGTCACTAGACTCTCCCTAATCAAACAAACAAAAAAAAATTCAAGTACCGTAAGTTCATCTTGATTTTTGTTGACAACATTCATCAAACTCGCGTACAATTCATTTTCTTTCTGTTGAGCGTACTGAATTCTCCTGGGAGTAATCTGAATTTCTCGAGCCATATCAAAAGCACTGAGGATAAATTTACGCAGCGATGTAGTCTGAATTTCAGTTAAACAAGTGCTTGCATTAACAAGATAACTTTGAAGGCAACTGCGAATAAAGTGTAGAACTCGGTCCATCTTTTTATAGGACTCAACAAAGTCACTGGAACTGACATACTCGGTCCCTACCAGCCAGGCCATCCGTTGATCCTCAACAGACTCTTCCACGCGAAGAAATCCTAGACCTCCCAATTGGTCCAGCCAAGTTCGCCCCAAAGAATTCATTTTCTCAAAGTTAAAAGTTTCTTCTTCCTTCTTATCACTACTGACAAATTCAGTTATATTTTTATTTTTATTTTTATTATTACTGGGATTATTTTCAGCCTGAGTTTGTAAACGGTGCTGTTCAGATTCTGTCAAGTCACCATCAACACTGTCGAAAACGATGTTGGCCAATGAAGAAACAAACAATACTGGATTGTACGGATAAGTTTCTTTCAATTCTCTCAACTCCTCGGTATTTGATTCCGTGAGAGGATAATCACCGAGCGCGTATAAAAATATCGGCAAAATATTTAATATTCCTTTAGCGAGTGACTTTATGGCCGCGATATCGGGTATCACAAAAATTTGTACGCCGTCTTTGAGAATCAACCGATCCAGCTTGACGTCCAAAACTTGTGGACAATTAACGTCTTCATTTCCAGATCGGTTCAAATCTTCTACGGTCAAAGTTTCGAATGGAGTCTCCGTGGGTACATAATCAACGACTTCATACTCGAGACCCAGGGTCAGGCTGACGTGGTTGGTGGTACCATAGCTGAATTTAATCCATCGCCATGACCCGCCAGTTCTCCCTACTGGGAGAATATCTTCTTCCAACAAACGGTTCACCAATGCTGATTTTGACTTGCAGTCTTGCCCTGATATTACAATCGCTGGTTGATTGTCCAGTATATGAGTAAGACGATCCAGGGTCAAGGAGGGTAATAACTCATCAATAATGTTTTCTAAAAAGTCCAATTTATTATTTATATATAAGTTTTAATCAATAATAGTCATGTTTAACTGTAGTAAAAGAAGACATCCAACAATGTTTTTTTTTTTTTTTTTTTTTTTTAATTATAATGAAAAATACAAACATAATTAATATTTAAAATCAAATATTGTTCAACATCTGCTAATGTAAAAGTTTTGCAAATCGAGAATTATTTTGTAATGAATTTGCATAAAAAAGAAGAAGAAGAAGAAATAATGATAAATAAAAAATTACCTTCAGGAAAAAAATTTTCATGATTGATAACATCTAGCGTACGGTGTGTTTCCTTGAAAATATGCCGTAACTGATTACGATTGCGTTGGTACCGACGAAACTCTTGTGGTAATTTACTTAACATTTTTAAAAATATACTTAAATAAATTTAACGAGGGTAGAGTTAAGATCACTCTGATGTTCATCACCCAAATGGCAGACTGCAAGTGCCCGTTTCATATAATTACATTTAAATATATTGTTATTATTATTATTTTACATTATTTCTCACTTATTATATTTAATCGCCAATTAATACTCTTAGATTAATGACGTTCGATAGGATTTATTTATTAATACGGTTCATAGTGTCGGATGAATGCCAAAAGTGAAACACTTTTTGATAGTGATTAAATAATCTTATCGTTAACTTTAATAAACTTAATGTAATTTAAATTTAAACAAGAATTAAATTAACAAAAAGTAATATAATGATGATTTTTAAGTTTATTAATTGTTAAGCGTCATCAAATGTGATAATTATTTAACCTTTGATTATAATTGAAGATATTTAGAAATTATTTTCATTGGTGAAAGTATAAAATTTTCTTAAATAATATTATATTATAAATATATAAAATAGTCATTATGTATAAATATTATTTAGTTTGCAGATTAAATTTTGAGTGAATAACAGACACCACAAACATTTCACTGGTAAATAACTAGGAACTGAAGAAAAACAATTGCTGTGAATCCCAGAAATATTGTTCAGTCCTTGAATTTTATTTTCCTGGTTGCGGTGAACTTGAGATGCTTAATGATCCTTTGACAAAGTCAACTGATTTCTACAGTTATTTAATAATTATAATTAAATAATTATTCAGCGCAGTGGATAAGAGTTCAAGTAATTACTGTAGATACTGTTATTCTTCATGGAGACGTATATTGTTCTGTCAAGACAATAATAAACTAAGAACTGAACAGTCAAACGAGATGTTATGAATGAAAAATAATAAATTTTACGATTATTAAAAAATATCGTAACCAATATATAATATAACCTCGTAAATTGATTATAAGAGTTGACGTTTGGCGGCAGCAGTTCCTTCTCAAACAATTGTGTTTTTGTTTATTTATCTATCATCTGATAATAATAATAATAATAATTATTATTATTATTATTATTATTAAGTATTACTATTATAATACTGATGATTTTTATAAATTGCTCAGAAGTAATTATTTCAATTGATATTTTGTCCAAGATTTTTCGTTAAATTTTTAATTGTAATATGAAAATTAGATAATTAATAAATTTATTAAAAATATATTTTTAGCTGATAGCAAATTTTTAATTATTGATTTATTTTATTAATTAAACCTGATTTTGTAAATCAGTTGAATTTAATTATACCAAATAAATTAATCATTTTTTTTTTTTTTTACCATTAAAAATTTATAACAATTAACAGTCTATAATAAAATATTGAAGCATATTTCTTCAATAAAAAATTGTTTTTTACAGATATTTTCAAAAAAAAAAAAAAAATTACTTTTTAATTAATTAAGCACTGTAAAAATATAATTTATTTAAAAAGCAAAAATAATTTTTAAAATTTTAGTGGTGAGTTTGTTTTTCAAGTTTTTTAAACTAAAATAAAGAAAAAAAAAAATGAAAAACAATAACTATAGTTTATTAAGAATTGAGAAATTGTATATAGGTATATACGGCCCTGGGAGTATAAAAATAAACATATTTTAAAAAAGAAGAACCGCGACGGTAGCGCTGTTGATAGCTGTTTCATGAAGTTTATTTAGTATGGACCAGAGTGAGAGCTAGAAGAGGGAAGAAGAAGAGGAGAGCCAAGAGCTCAAGAGCTGAGTTGGAGCGAAGCAGAGTAGAGTCGGGACGTTGGGACGCCGGGAACAGCAAGGGGATCAAAAGAGAGCAAGCTAAACTGGCTGTGGCTGTCAGTGTTGGTGTTGTGTTCTGCTGTTCTTCTGTGTTGAGGGTGGAGAAAATACCTACCTAACATACTAACATAATATAAAATATATAATAATAGAGAATACAGCCTGTGTGCAGTTTGCACAGATATTGTTGTATATTATATAGAGGATGATACACGTAAATATATATAAAACAGCAATCCGAGTATTGGAGGCAAAGCCACAAGGGCCACAAGCAATGTAAAGCCAGCTGCCAGTGACGGATCACTCTGAGCTATGAACTCTGGAGAAGCTCCGTTAGCTGTTAGCTGTTAGTCGGCATACCATCATACACATACAAAGATACTAATATAACAATATTTAACACATAACACTCAAGTTTAATCTCAACTACTTATTTAATAAATATATATATATATATATATATATAATTGTGCTAATTACAATTATTTATCACTGAATAGTGGTGATATCTTCCAGTGTTTATTATTATCATCATCATCATCATCATCATCATCAGAGATAATATAATATATTATTTATTATATATTTGGATACGTAATTCTTTGAAACTTGAACCTCTTATCGATCATCCCCGTGGCAGAATGGACTCTGGTAGGGACAATTTATGTTTAATTTACCATTAAATATAATATTTTACAATTTATTGTTTTATTCACAAGATATATTTTTATTTTATTAACAGAACCGTGATACTGATTGTTGAAGTGAAAATAAAAAATAATCTGGGCCACTTTGGAATATTTCGTTGAGGGTGATGAAATATTCAAGTTATTGGTTAATAAAATAGTATTGGTGGTATTTTGAATTAAAAAAAAAAAAAAATAATCATACGGCTGGTTGGGTTAAGGCTGGTTCGGATCATTGATTAATTGGATTTACGAGGACCAAGACTGAGAGAGAGGATGATGTGCCTGAGACCCAATCGAAGAAAATCCAACCACACATCTATCATATTTTGTCACTACCTATGATTTTATTGTGCTTGAAGCTTTGAACACATTGCACATGCTGTTCGTCGGTTCCTGACGATCCAAGGGTATTTATTTATTTATTTATTGTTACTTTTACTTAAATAAATTGTTTAAATATTTATATTAAATTAAGACAGTTAAACAACCTAGTTAATTAAAATTATTATTTATTTTTTTAAATATTACAGACGTATGTGAAATGGGTAGTTCTTGGTGGCAATGCACTGCATGTTTGAGAGCACAGGAAGAAGACATTTGTGAATTACAACTTAATCATTGCAATCTTTATGATGTACCACCAGATGTGTTCATTTATGAGAGGACACTGGAAATGCTTTATCTTGATGCCAATAGAGTAAATTTTAATAATAATAATAATTATTATTATTATTAATTAACATTTATATTTTAATTTTTTTTTTTTTAATATAAAAAAAAAGAAGACAAATTAATAAAATAAGTAGATCACTTGTTTAAAATAGCTCAAGAGTTGATAGATATTATTTATTTATTTATTTATTAATTATTAATTTATGAGAGTAGTCTAATGGAAGCGGTTATTTAAAGTTTCTTAAAGTTAAAAATAACTTTTATTAAATAATTAATTTACAAAGTTTGTATACTTAAGTGCTGTAGAAATTGATAACTTGAGTGCATTAATCAATCTAAAGTTTCAATTTTACTTTGAAATACGTGTTTAATTAAATTATTATTATTATTATTATTATTATTATTATTATTATTATTGAGTAATTAATTAAATGTCTAATTATTCTTTTTTTTTTTTTTCTCTTCTTAGATAAAGGATTTACCGAGGCCATTATTTCAGTGTCATGAATTACGCGTATTGTCATTAAGCGACAATGAAATTACAACATTACCACCCGCCATAGCGTCACTCATTAATCTTGAGAGTTTAGATCTCAGTAAAAATAGTAAATATACTTATTAGTTATTACAAATAATAAGAGGAAAAAAAATAAATTAAATATATATTTAAAATTTCAGGTATAAAAGAATTACCAGATAATATAAAGGAATGTAAAAATTTACGTTCAATAGACTTGAGTGTAAATCCATTCGAGCGTTTTCCCGAAGCAATAACACACATAACAGGCTTACGTGAATTATATATAAATGACGCTTATATTGAGTACTTACCAGCAAATTTTGGACGGCTATCAGCTCTAAAAACTCTTGAGCTTAGAGAAAACAACATGATGACACTACCAAAATCGATGAGCCGTCTGGTGAATCTTCAGCGTCTGGATATCGGGAACAATGACTTTACAGAATTACCTGAGGTGGTTGGCGATCTGACAAATTTAACCGAGTTGTGGATTGACGGGAATGACATCCGGCGTATTCCAGCTAACATCGAGCAATTGTACCGGTTGAATCATTTCGATTGCACGATGAACTCGATTGACAGTGTTCCTGCGGAAATTCAGGGCTGGCGTGATATATCGATAATAAATTTTTCCTCAAATGAGATTCTCCAATTACCCGACTCGCTCTGTTATTTACGTACAATAGTAACATTAAAAATAGACGATAATCAATTAAATTCACTGCCAGACGACATTGGACAGATGTCGAGCTTGGAGGAGTTGATAGTTACGAAAAACTTTCTCGAGTATTTACCATCTTCGATAGGGCTGCTCCGTAAATTGCACTGTTTAAATGCTGATAATAATTATCTACGTTCGATACCACCGGAGATCGGCAGCTGCAGTGCGTTATCACTTCTTTCGCTCAGGTCTAACAATATAACAAGTGTGCCACCGGAAATCGGACATTTATCCTCCCTCTGTGTCCTTAATCTCGTAAATAATTGCATACAGTTTCTACCAGTCTCAATGCTTAATTTAAATAATTTAAAGGCGCTTTGGCTGAGCGACAACCAGAGCCAACCGCTGGTACCTCTACAACAGGAGTTTAATCACGAGGAAGACATGATGGTACTCAGTTGTTTTATGCTACCTCAAAAGCAACGGAAGGATCTTGAACGTAAGTTTTAAGTAATCTTTCTTATAAGTAATTTATAATTATAAATTTAAATTTTTTAATAACTAACCAAAAATTACTCTAATAAATCCTACGCTGCTAGTTGAGAGCGGTGTGGTGGATGAGGAATGAAAGGGTAAAGTAAAACTAGTAACAAAATAATAATAATAATAATAATAATAATAATAATAATAATAACAATAACTAAAATTAGTAATTTTCAAATTAACTGAATTTCTTTTTTTTTTTTTAAATCGGTGGTTTGAAATTATAGAAATGGAGCAAGCAGTGGGACCAATTTCCGGTTCAATTGTTGGGACTGGAAGAAGAATATGTTTTGCCACGGAATTAGAAACAGAGGTCCCGAGACAATTACATCGTGCACCTACCCCGTATCCTAAAGAGCTCCGTAATTTAGCCCGCCATGCGCGTAATCTTCATCACCAGTCTATACATGATCAAAGAGTAAGTTATTAATTAAAATTACAAATTTTTGAGAAATTTAATTATTTATCTAATTTGTAAATTTATTTAGATTCATATGGAACGAGAGGGTATGATAAAAGAAGCTGTTGTTGCTAAAGCAACGCCCATGATTAACACTTCTATTAATTATAATTCATACCACGAGGTAATTAATAATAATAATAATTATTATTATTATTATTATTATTAAATTTCAAAATTATTTTAATATATATAAATGAATTTCAGAACTTGTATCTAATGTCAAGAGATGAAATGAACTCAAAACAAAATCAAGTGGTGGACGGTCCAAGTCCAGATTACTCCGAAGAAAGTCGTCCAGTGCTGGCATTGGAAAAGTCATCTCTTGAAATACGAGAAGCCAAGTGCATACGAAACTCCCAAACAAACGAGAGTTTATCACGACCGCCTACGATCGCGGACTACGTCAGCTCAACTTGGAAACCCGAGGAGTACTCAAGGACAAATACGGCTAAAATCGTCGAGTCTGAAAAGTTAGCAGAGTCTTACAAGAGTCCCAACGACAGCAACGGGGTCGAGTCTTTGGGAAATAGTAAACCGGGTAGTGAAGTTCCATTGGCACCACCCCCTTATCACATCGCTGCGGCGTTCTCCAAGCAGGCTGCCTTTTTTCAGCAATTGAATCGACTCAATGCTGACACCGATGCCAGAGGAATCGGAGGAGGTCAAAGAAGAGGAGGAGGAGGAGGAGCAGCAGGAGAAGGAATTGAAGATTGTGGTAGAGGAGGATTAATTCCGTACCATAATGACAATCATTTATCGAGTTCATTTAGAAGTAAGGAGAACCGTTTGATAAATATTAACAGCACCAGCAGTAACAGCAGCAGAAATAGCAATAGCAATATAAGTAATACTGATGACGTTGTTGACGGTAATAACTGCGGCGGGAGTATTGTTAACACCTCGTCGGTTATTAATGTTAATAATAATAATAATAATAATAATAATAATAATAATAATAATAATAGCAATAGTAATAGTAATAGTAATAACGATCAAGATAACCGTAATTTTATATTTCGCGAAGATAAACCCAGTAGGATACCAATAATGCGTAGTATTAAAAATCCCGAGTGTTCTATTTCGTTGTCTGACAATGATTCTGTTTCGATAAACGAGAGAAATGTTTATTCAAGTCAAGATGACTACGACAGATACCAGCTCTCCTGTTCTCGGGATAAGAGTCACAGTGACATAAATAACTGCACCCCGACGTCACCTATTACGGGTAGAAAATATCGCAGCCCATTGTCCTCTGCTCACAATCAGCTAAGACATTCAGATCGTTCTTGGAGATTAAATGGCAATAAAGATGAAATATCATCACCCTCGCCACCAGTCATACCGATGTCTATGCCGATGGTTCACCAAAATGATGGCTCAACAAACCATCCTTACACACCCTCACTTTCACTTGATAATTCTATTGAATTTCACAGTGATAAAAATAACTCAGGTCGTAGTACTCCTGTATCTATTTCTCTATCTAATAATATTAATTGTTCATTGAGTAATAGTGGCTCTGATATTTATAAATCAAAATCCAAAATTAAGTGGATGTTTGGTCAGCATAAAAATGTTAATGTGGTAATTATTTTTTTTTTATTTTTTTTTTAATTTTTCGATTGCAATAAATTAATCTTTGATTTTTTATTTTATTATTTCAGATACCAGTAAAGGTTAGAAAAAATCCCGGGCTTGGTTTCAGCATCGCTGGCGGTATAGCAGGAAATCAAACTGTAAGGTTTATTATTATTATTATTATTATTATTATTATTATTATTTTTTTTTTTTTTTTCAATTTAGTTCTTACCTAGCTGTTGAAAAATATTCATTTATTTATTTTTTAATTAAACAGGGAATAATAGTTACGAAAGTAAATCCAGACGGACCAGCCCAAGGGACGCTCCGTCCCGGTGATAAAATCTTACAAGTTGACGGAATTGATTTTTCAAACTCAGATCACGATCGTGCGGTTGCTATTTTAAGGTCAACTGGCGAAATTGTTACAATGATGATCAGTCGGCATCAATGAATAAGAAATATAATAAAATAAATTAACAAAGCAAGATAAACAATTATAAGCATGTTATCGAATTAACTATAATGGTGAGTTTGTCATGACAATTTTCTATTTTTAGATTATATATTTTCAATTATGTATATACACTAGGAAAAAAAATGGCTTGGTTCAAGAGAAATAGAATAATTCTTAAACTCATGAATCAAGTTATTTTTTTTTTTTTCTTCAGTGTATACATATTTTAGTTTTCCAATGTCAACATTAGACTGATTAGTATTTTCCGTACTATTTTCGCGCAATGTTCCACTTATTTCGGGACAAACTATAAATATATAAGTATTTAATCAATTGTGTTTTCCATAAAATGCACAAAACAAAAAAGTACCTTTTGTATTTACAAATAATACTAATTATTATTATTATTATTATTATTATTATTATTATTATTACATATATATATATATATGTATATTTACTCGGAGGATTTAATTTTTGTTTGTAGTTTTTGTACTTGAAAAGGAAATATTTAAATCCATTAACTCTATTATTATATTGAATTATTCAATAAAATTTAGCATGCGCACATTAGTTATACGCACACATTTATATTTTTATCAATACTCACTGTCATTTAAAATTAATTGTTTTTAAATAAATTATTTTATCAACTCATTACCTTCTTCTGTGAGTTGATAAAATAAACTCTCTATTAATTTATTAATTATAATAATGAATTAACAAAATATATTGTATATTAATTATACAAAAAAAAATTTATATAAATATATATATATATTACTTTAAGATATATAATTATTTAAAGTCAAAGATAAATGATAATACCAACAAAAATAAATATGAAATATTCTTCTATGTGCCGTAATTTATGAAATACTTGAAAACAAAAAAAATTATATATATATATATATATATATATATATATATGTATAAAAAAATTGTATACTGTTGTCTACCAATTAAATTATATATATATTTATATCACTGGTTGAAATGCAATTGTATAAAATCCAGGAGATATTTTCTTTATTAAATTTATTCATGGTTTCATTTTCTTTGACTTATCAAAATGCATTTAGTTTTGAAAATTATGTCGACTTAAAAATTTATAAAACTTATTTATTTACGATAAATTGAGATAATAAGTTATATTTTTTTATTTTTATACGGCACTTATTGTTTAGACAAACAAATCTCCTGGTTTATTGTATAGTTAAAAATTCTAATGGTTGTTCTCGAGAAGAAGAAATAATAAACTTGTACCTAAACTTATGCTAAATAATCAAAGTCACTGTTAATTTTTTTTTTTTTTTTAATTATTGAGTGACTGAAAACTATAAGACTAATCCTTGCATATAAAGAGAGAAACAAAATATAATAAATATTATTTAATGATATTATTAAAAATGAATAATTAACAAATTAATTAATACTTCCCAGTGATACGATAGATCTAAGTAGTTTTTCTGCTGTAATTATTTAATAAATTATTTTAACATATCAATTTATTCATTTGTTTTTATAATAATTGATATGCTAATAATAATAGAACTATTGTCAGTGTGTGTTAATCTATAGCAATAATAATAATTTAATAAAAAAAAAAAAAGCGTGATGCTGCCATAGCTAAACGTTCTGGTTTCTCTCTTTTAATTATAAGTAATTATGCAGTATATTTATTTTTGGTAATAAATAAATTTTGTATTATTTTTTTTTTTTTTTTTTTTTTTTTGGCAAAAAGTCATGAATAAATATTAGCGGTAAATTCATTTTTCTTTTAAAAATATTCTTTTTTTAAAATAAAAATGACAATATTGAAAAAATTTATATTTATAATTAAAAAAAATAAAATTATATCTAGTTTTTTTGTTATTAAAAATACTATCACTGCATAAATACCAAAAATAAATCTATAAACTTGTAAATTGTATCACAAATTACTAATAAATGCAAAATAATATGGATAAATAATTAAGAAACAGAAAAATAAATCTAAAGCATTTAAAATGTTTGAAATACTAGATGACTAGTCATATATATGGCCCGATCTATGAAAAATAAATATAAAATATATTATATAATAATTTATAAAATAAAAAAGATACTTTTGTGACAGAAAAATCCATTTCCGTGTTAGTTAACCCATAAAAATAAAAAAAAATACATAAACGATTGCGCATAAAAATAAGGGTGAATGGAGTTTACTGATTATTATAAATTTCAGGTACACCGTAAACTGTAACTATATAATAATAATAATAATAAATAATAACTAAAATTAATAGACTCTGCGATTACAAAGTCACGGTCACGGAAGTGGAAGTTAATCTTCTGGTATGCTGGGTGCTCCCAATCTATATGTATAACAAATTATTTTTTTTATAATATATACTCTTTTTTTAATAATAATAATAATAATAATAATAATAATAATAATAATACGAGGTGAAATAATATCCTCAGTTATAGTTGTTGAGTCTTTAGTCTTATAGATTATTATAAATAATACTGTAAACGGGGTGATTAAAAATACTAAAATTTCTTGATAAAAAATGACTATATATATATATATATACAATATAAATAATGTTTTGAAATGAGTGACAAAAAAATTCTGTATATATGCAAGAGGGTGACAATACTCTCGCGATCAATACCTCTTCTTCTACTTCAAACTTGACAGACTGACTATGTTTTTTGGATGATTTGTATCTAAGTAGATAGTTTTAAATCATGTTAGCATTTTAAATATAATTATTATTATAAACAATAATTATGATTACTATGGTTGATTATAAAATATATGGAACCATATATCACATTAAACTTTACGTTGATTTCGGATGTAAATAAATATAAAATAAAAAAAAAAAAATATACATATATATATATATATATATATATTTAATTGTGTATATTTATGAAAAAATATAAAAAATGACCTGTTGATAAAAATTCAATGTAATTATTATATGATTAAGAGAGATGGATTTTCGAGATAGAACTTCCAGAGATTGGAGAATCTGGCTACGGTCGCCCCGTCGACCACTCGGTGATCAGCTGCCCAACTAATAGAAATAATGTTTGCTGATTTAATGGTTCCATTTTGATCAAAGCGTGGTAGTTTTTGTAGTTTTCCAATAACTCCGATTATTATCTGGGGTGGTAGAATCATTGGCTTGGCGTATGTTCCACCGATCTATAAAATAAAATAAAACATTTAATTTATACTTGGTTGTATTAATAATAATAATAATAATAATAATAATAATAAAAACTCACAGCTCCAATATTGGATAAACTAAAAGTTCCACCCGTGACATCGTTTAGAGGAAAAGCAGCCTTCTGACCGAAAGCTTGAAGTCGATTAAGTTCTCGAGCAATGTCAGCAATCGTTAAATTTTTTACGTCCTTGATATTAGGAACTACCAGCCCCTGAGGAGTATCCATAGCTAGACTAATATTGTGAGTTTTAAATGTTTTTAGTGCTTGGGCTTGTTCATCGAGCCATGAATTTAATCTCGGATATTTTTCCAATGCCTTTGACGTTGCCTTAACAAAGAATGGAGTAAATGACAATGAAATTCCCTGGTTTTCGAGGTAATCCTTTGATTCATTACGTAACTCCACTAGCTTTGTAATATCGCACTCATCACAGTAAACAAAATGGGGAATATTCTTAAATAATAATAATAATAATAAACAATATTATTATTATTAATAATAAAAATAACTAAGACAAGAGGTATTTATTTTTATTAAAACTTACCTGAGATTGCGACATAGTTTTCCACATGTGTTTCTGATATCCTATCAAAGGAACAATTTGAGGGTCTCCACCATTTTCATCCTCCTGGTGGTTTCCTTCAGGTTTAATAAATTTTCCGGGATCTTTATCGAGGAAAGCTAAAAGATCTTCCTTGAGAATTCGCCCGGCTTTTCCCGTTGCCGGAACCTCTTTAAGGTCAATATTGTTCTCAGCAGCCAGCCGCCTGACAGCTGGCGTGGTAAGTATTTTGTTATTATTAAAGTTTTCACCCTGATTCGTCTTGGAAAATTCATTTGTATCTCCTTTGGATTGTATGAGGTTGCTCAGGTTGATATTGTCTTTATCGGGTGGTGATATTGTTTGTTCATTGACACCTAGACCGGGGGAAGCAACTTCTTGGGAGGTGTCATCTGGTAACTCAATATCTACCAAAGCATCACCGACAAGTGCCACCTCCTCAACTTTATAATGAAGTGCTTTAATTTGCCCGTCGTAACGACTTGTTATTGTTACAGAGGCTTTGTCACTTTGTACTTCGCAGATATTGTCAAACTGTGATACCTTATCGCCTGGCTTTACAAACCTATTATTATTATTATTATTATTATTATTATTATTAACTTTGTTAATTAAATCTTATCAATTATAAATAAAATTTTTTAATATGATTTAATTACCATTCTTTGACGGTGACTTCTTTTATTCCTTCACCAATGTCCGACAATTTAAAGGGGATCACTGGTCCATTATTAATACAAGTTATTGACAGTAATCTATTACCTCTGCCCTAAAAACCAAATTCATATTTAACTAATAATAATAATAAAATAATTGATTATTAAAAATACAATACTGACCAATTTAATAATTGGAAAAAATCTAGCTGTCCAAGCCATAGATTTTATTTGTTCACTAAATATAATTGCGTATATATGGATCCGACAGTTGATACAAAACTAAAATTTATTCACAAACACATTAAACAAACTTTCGTAACTCACTGATAACAACACTGTGTCCCAACTTTAATCGCGATTATGATTAAATTTGCTGCTACATAATATACATCCTCTATCTCCATATGCGGTTCAATCTATATAAATCTTTCTTTAATAATAATAATAATAATAATAATTAATATTATTTTAGTTGTTAAATAAAATCAAGTAGTCTACACTTGTCTGAGAATATCTATAACAATAAATAAGTTTAATTAAATACTTATATTACAATATATGTTAATAAACTGTTGACCTTAATGAATAACTGAGTTATCTCCATGTTTAAATTAACGATACGGTTATATTGTGATAAAGTATTACATTGCTGGTTCATTTATTCTTATATTTTATTTTGGTCGTACAGTTTTATTTTTTTTATATTTTATTATTTTAAACCATTTTATTTACAATTTAACTGAAACTTATACTCTTGCTTTAACTTTATAATTACAGTAAACAATATGTATATATAATTATTTTTTGTTTTAATTCTCTGTCCAGTGCATTATTTGTTTATTATATATTTATTTTAATTATGCTTACAATATAAATATGTCTTTAACGTTAAATTAATTGTAACAATAATTACAATTTTCGAAAAAATATTTAATTGGTATAATTTAATTTATTTATTATTATTATTATTATTATTTTTAACTAGATAGTAGACTAGATTTTTTTGTCTATTAAATAAAATTTAAAAAATAATAACAATCATTTTCATTATAATAAACACATTCAATCATACCTACATAATATATTAGTTAATTAAAATAAAATTTTATTGACTATTTATATAGGCCTCAAGTTTTAACACTTTTTAACTTGGGTTGTATTAAAATGTTTTTTTTTTTTTTTTTTTTTAAATAATAATAATAAATTCTTTACAAATAATAATAATTAAACGGTGATAATTATCAACAACCAATTAACAATACAACAATTAGATATAGATAAACAATCGAATAGAACATGTATACGTACTATATTAATATTTTTATTTAGATATATTATATGTGATAACCTGATAACAAATGTAATAGAATTCGTCAGAAAATTCATATATATATATATATATTTATAAATGTTTACTACTTAGTATAGCATTGACAGCTGTCTATAAATGTTCAAAGTCTTTTTTGCACAGAGCATTTTTTAGGCTTTTTAGGCTTTTTAGGCTCTTTTATTTTATTTAAATCTTTAAAATATAAACAGTCACACTGTCAAGTCTTGATATTTTAAATAATTTAACTTTATTTTATTGACTACGTCTATCTGATGCCAGTCGTAGCTAGTCTTTATTTATTTGGAATATTTTTGTTTTTGTTTTTGTTTTTATTTATAACTGAGCGACTTGTTCAGAAGCGTTAGATGACTGTGAAATTTCCGTAACACCGGTAACACCCACAGAAGTTTGAACGACAGCACACAATGCACTACGTAATGGTACATGCTCACTGCTCATCTCACAACCGGTATCTGTAACCAAATATACCTTTAGCTTTATACTATCATATGTATCAATTATAATTATCTGATTATCACTTCTATAAATACAACTATATCTATTATCTTCAATATTTACACTAATGTACTCCAATAATCAAAATTAATTGGTAATTTATTATAGGAAATTACACTACCGAATCCTCGAAATAGATTTACCATCATCTATAATTCTAATTACAACTAATTTTCAATAACAATAATTAAAATTATTAATTTTTAATCGATTTAAAACAATTTAATACAAAGATATTATTTCGCATTATTAAATTAATGAACCCATTAAATGTTTTAAAAGTTTTTTAATTTGTCTTATTACTATTGATAATGAATTATATCCAGTAAATTATAGTTTTGTAACAGAAATATAGTATATATCAGACTGTAATTATTGTTATTGATTTAAAAATAACATCCTAAACTTAAACTAAAATTAAATCTAATTATTTACTATATTACGAAATGTTGATGCTTTTTAGTCGTACCATAAATTAATTTTAAGACTCGTTCAATTTAAGACCGTAATAATAATAACATTAAACGTTAAATTATATTCCACTTTTATTAACCTTCCGTAGATTAATTTTACGGAAATGAGTTTTGATTATTCAGTTTACATTTATAATTTCAAATTAAAAATAATGGTCAATCTCAGCATTAAATAATAATAATAATAATAATACTACCAGATGTGGATGTATATTTTTAAAATTACCGTCTACTCGGACGCTGATAAATATTATAAGCTAGGGCGTACAATGTCAAAAAAGTAATCATGAATTTTTAGGCAGCCCGATAGCACTGGTTATTTTAGTTTCAAGTTCCATTCCCTGATATCTATATCTATACTAGAAAAGTCTATCGAAAGTAAACGCGATAATCGATTACATAAATTTTAAATCTATATATATATATTACTACTATTCCATATTTATTTATTTTTATATATTAACTAATAGCCATTGCTCGTTAATTTCTACTCTAAAAAATATAAATTTTAAATAAACTTTAAGCTTTTAACTTTCAACTTGAGTTTACCTTGAAGAAAAAAAAAAATAAAAACAAACAAATAGACTACTATATTTATCATTTAGAAATATAAATTTTTTAGTAAAACTAAAACTAAAGTTAAGAAAAAAAAATGTAACATCCAGTACACGCGATAGTTTGACGTTAAATAACAAGTAAACGCATGCAACAAAACGTTAAAATTTTGAATTCGCCAGATTAACAGATAAAATAATAATAATAATTATTATTATTATTATTATTATTATACTCACATTTAGCTACGGAGGAAGTCCCAGCACTGCTTCCTTGTTTTTTAAAGGTACTACTACCCATAGTTACTTTGCCCCGAATATTTTTATCAGGCTGGAAGACTATGATATATACTTTAGGCGAGTACAAACACACTAGAGTCACTGAGGCGCTCAAACTTATTGCCACACACAGTGTTGTTATTTGGATTTCGTGGGCATTACCGGTCCCAAAGTAGATTGGTACAAATGCTAACCAAATTATGCATGTGGTGTACATTGTGAACCCAATGAACTTGCTCTCGTTAAAGTTTTCTGGTATTTTTCTTGTTTTAACCGCGTAAACAGTTGCTATTACTATAAGGACCGCGTTGTACAGCTGGGAGAATAAAAAACTCATGTCTTGGATATTGCACTTGAGGATAACTTGCCGGCGGTCTGGATAAAAGTGCCGGGTCCCCGCCGGCTCAACTATCATCCATACTAGGGTGAGCATCACCTGCAACCCGATCAAAAAAGTTGCGATGCACACCTGGGACCTTGGGCTGATGTACTTTGGTCTTACTGCTGATCTTGACGCAGAGTCAAAAATTCTAGCAATTCTAAAAATAAAAAATTATAGACATTTTTAAAATAAAAAAATAAAAAAATAATAAAAATAAAAAAATTATCTTGGCTACCTGTTTGTTTTGGTCAAGAGCGCACCATAAACAGCGCTGAAGCTTACGCCAACTCCAAACCTCTGGAGCACACATGTTGCAAAAGTCGGCTGAGCAAGCAGAACAAAAGTATTTAAATAACAAACAAGGACTCCAGCGAGCAATATAATGGTCAATTCACGGCCAGAGGCTCTCACCACCGGCGTGTCGCGGTGATGAAACATCAATCCGGCGACCCCGAGTGTTGCGATAATCCCCATTAAGGATATAACTGCGGGTGCAATAGCAAATGCACTGTCCCATCTGATGTATTTAACTGGCAAAGGGTAGCAACCCCGTTTGTCTGGATGGGGCCAGTGTCCGGGGCTGCACTCTTTGCAAGTGGTGTCGTCGTAGACGTACTCGTATTCCTCGCACCGGTCGCAAACCCAGCAACAGGTGTCGCCCTGTTGCTTCCGAATCATCCCCGATTCGCAGGGTAATGAACATGCTGACACTGGAATATCTTCAGCTCCTTTTGCCCATACCAAGTCTTCAATGTTTATGGTTAATTCTTTGTACCATCTTCCTACCACCTATCATTTAATTTTAAACTTTAATATTTTATTTTAATACATAATACAGATTAATTTATTTCATATTGCTTACTTGATAATTGAATCCATTGGTAGCATTTGGGTCATTCTTACGAAAATTAAGGATTTCATATCTAGCGAGACCGTCACCATGTTCATCGAATTTAACTTCACTGCCAGCAGAATCTAAACATACACACACACACACACACACACACACACACAATATCATTTAATTATTAATACTTGATTTAAAATTTACTACTCCATATTCATAAGCTTACACGACAGTTTAACCTGCTCACATGCGCTTATATTATTATTATTATTATTATATACTATATTATAAATTGCATGTACAAATATTTAAATAAACTTTATATATGTATATATGTTTTAATTTATCAACGTCCTTATTATGTGTAACGACGACAACTAACAAACTGCCCGAGGTAGCTATATACGTATGGTAGCAGTAATACAAGTAATATAAGGGTGTTAGGTCATACTCTCGAGTTACGAAATCAATGCACGTGTTTCTGTTTCCTCTCACTGCATTTACATCATTTGTTTTTTTTTTTTTTTTCTTTTTTTATTAAGCTTTGTTTTCCTCAACTTTGTTTTTTTATTTCTTTCTCCGCAGAAGCATTTAACCACAACGAACATTATTACAAATTATATTATATTACACAAGTTTAATTCTGTCGTATAGAAAAATCATTAATTTAAAATACGACCAATACATTATAAATATACAAGTTGTTAGTAACAGCTTTAAACTGGGAATTATTTTGAGACACTTGACCTTCAATCGTTATTTGCTGGATCAAATGGTAAAATTAGAACGTTGTTATCGAATTCCTTTTTTTATTCAATTTTTGTTATCATTTTTAAAGGAAAATATTTTCAACATTATTGATCGAATATAGTAGTTTTTAGTTTTGATTAATTATTTTTCCAACTAAAGAAAATAAAAAAAAAAAAAAAAAAAGATTTAAACAAAATTTTTTTAACTTATTTGTTTTCATGCAGTAGAAAAGTTTTAAGTTTGTAATCTTCTTCAATTTCTAACTTTGTCTTAAAATCTTTGTTGAACTAGCGATTATTTATACACGGGGTAAAATAAAACATTATTTTAAAGCTTTTAAATGAAAATTTTTAACACTGTAAATCAACATGAGCAAAAATAATCAATTAATTTAACACATAAATAAAATTTCTTTTAATAATAATAATAATAATTATTATTATAAATTTAAATTTTCATAATATTAATAATAATAATAAATAAAAAATGGTAAGCTCTGAATATGAATTTATAAAAAAAAAAAAAAAAAAAAAAAAAAAAAAAAAAAGATTTAAACAAAATTTTTTTAACTTATTTGTTTTCATGCAGTAGAAAAGTTTTAAGTTTGTAATCTTCTTCAATTTCTAACTTTGTCTTAAAATCTTTGTTGAACTAGCGATTATTTATACACGGGGTAAAATAAAACATTATTTTAAAGCTTTTAAATGAAAATTTTTAACACTGTAAATCAACATGAGCAAAAATAATCAATTAATTTAACACATAAATAAAATTTCTTTTAATAATAATAATAATAATTATTATTATAAATTTAAATTTTCATAATATTAAATAATAATAATAAATAAAAATGGTAAGCTCTGAATATGAATTTAATAAAAAAAAAAAAAAAATAAATAAATAATGATTATGATTAGCATTCAAGTCACGAGGTAAAATGTATCTTGGGATATTTCAAAAGGGATTTTCCTTGACAACCTTGTCCCTAGTTTATTTTCCGATTATGTATCTTGCCACCCTGATCCTACCCAGTGACACTGGTATAATATATCATATATATATATATATATATATGAAGATAAATAACTCGCGGAAAATATATAATTCAACATCATAGGTGATGGTAATGAAATCTATGGTATGGTATCTATATACATATATATTATAACAATAATAATAATTGTTTATTTACTTGTGTGATTAAAATGTTATTCAAAATTTTGTATTCAAAGTACTTACTCACTATGTAATACTATTAAATTTCTACGGCCTTTAAGGAACGTCAGTTCTAGGGCCGAATTTCTTTCAATAAATAAATAAATAAATATATATATTTTAGATTATATGCGCGAGTTTTTTTTTTTTTTTTTTTTTTTTCATAAAACGCGCTCTTTATTATATATTTTTTTTAAATTTTTTTATTCGTATGGATGGGCCGTAATTTGAAGGAGAATAATAAACGCAGACGAGGCCGATTTTTCCATAGCGAGAGATCGATAGCCTCTTGGATATTGATGTGTTACTGAATAGGAGACCGTAGACCGTAAAACGAGTGTGATATCGTGATATGTATTTGTAGATGTATGTAATACTCATCTTCGACTAGTGAGAAACGACGCGAGTATCAGAGTATAGGGGGGGTGTGAGAGGATATCGCTAAAGTGAACCAAGTATTTTATATTCACCTCTTTACTCACGTTTTCACACTTGGATCATTCTCTTTACCCTTTTATATATCATCTTCTATTCACTTACTACTCACTATTGTCCCTATTATTCTACTTTTTATTAATGAAAATTTATTTATTATTATACTATTGAGATCATATCCAAAGACGAATTTTGATAACACATATACATCAGTATAGAATTTATATTTTTTTCTACATGTGTATAGTATTAAATTATATTCACTAGAATAGATAATTAATTAATGAATTTATTATTATTGTGGTTAATTAATTAATTTATAGTGAGGTAAATACAGGTAAACTAATTTTAGTTGGGTATAGTTTTGGGTAGTTTAAGTAGAAGAGCCCCAGGGGCTAACTAAAAGACGCACCAGGTTAAACTACCAAAATTACCTTTTTCGGTTATTTGTAAACTTCCATTGACAAGATGGAACATCCAAAATCTTTCATTAATTAAAAATCATTAATCTATTCACATGAATAAATTAAAATTAAAATTTATCCATTGCGCTCGAGTATATTATTTGGATTATTGGATCAATTAATTATTACCAGAAAATTAATTAATTATACATCCATAAAAAAATAATAATAATAATAATAATCGTAGTAATTGGAATCGATAAGATACTGGAAATATATAATGAGCTCATTTATTAAACTAGTTTTGTTTGTTTGTTTCTTTGTTATTTTATTACAATCATTTTTTTTTTTTTTTTTTTTTCCAACATTTATCTTTGTGATGGAAAAATTCATATAGACGGGAGTTATTGATTTTAGTTAGTTATATTTTAAAATTTATTCTGATAAATATTGTAGGTATTATATATTTATTCGCCGGAAGGGATGTCTTAAGTGAACGTCGGATAAATTTATTATTAATGAGATTTGAAGAATTGTAAGCGACATGAAAAAACTGAAAAAACTATTTTTCATATTTTTTTTCTCTCTCTCTCTCAAGATCTATACATTTAAAATGAGACATTATTCATAAATAAAAGTATCTCAGTTATTTTTATTTTTTTCGGTCTAAACAAAATAATCAAGATCCTATTTTTGTTATATTTTTATGAAAAATGAATGAAAATAAATCCCATAAAATAAAACAAATATAAGTATATTAATTTAAAACAGTTGAAGAAATGATAAGCATCAGTTAGAGTAATTTAAGTAATTTAATTAACAATCTCACCTGTAAAAGAGACATTGAGTAGATAGTTCTTGTAGAAAATCCCCTTGTCGTAATCTATCATCGCTTGACAAAGGCCCTTGCCCTTGCAGAGGTCTTTTTGCAAGTTGTTGAGTGCAAGAGCAAAAGCGTAGACCGCGTCAACCACAAATTGGACTTTAGACTCTTGCTCGTACCCGTTTGCCGGTGTGAGTCGTAGTTTAGAGGAGCAAATGTTTCTTTTAATGTAATTATAATTATTGGTAGTATTAACATTAGCATTATTAATAATATAATTTTTTTTATTTATCACAGGTTGATTTTTTGGTAGTCTGCAGTCAAAGACATCCTCCCAGTATTCTCCGAACCAGGGATTTCGCTTGTTAGTGCTCGGAGTCAGAGATTGCATGTACTCATCAAAGCTTGGAATGGTTTTAGATTGCAATTCAACGGTAATAGCCCCCTCAGCCTCAGCTTCAATACCCTCGACTAATTTATTTTGGCGTCCCCAGCCGTCGCTGGCTATCCACTGAAATGGGTGAGTTATATTCGATCTACGTGCTGCCTCTAATATTCTACGTGCATCTTCCGCCCTGGTGAAAAGGACCACTGCTCGGGCGTTAGGTTTCTTTGATAGACGCTGAATAATACTGTCAAAATCTTTGTCATCTGCTGCACTGGGAACCTTTTCCGCAGCTGCTATACACACATTCCTCTCCGTCGCCTGACGAGTAAACACCTGACATACATTTTTATTTGTTAATTAATAATTAAACATTTTATCCAAAGAATTTTACCACCAATTTATATTAAATATTTTTATATACAACTTTGAATGAATAATTTTAAGATTGATTTTAATCAGATAAACTATAAAAACTTGTTTAATTATATTGTATCAATAATGATAATAATCTGATGAGAGTAAAAGGATTATAACTTGTTAATATATATATATATATATATATACCTATTATAGTCACGAGTTATCAAAGTCCTGTCAGCGTATTTAAGTCGTCTTTATCATAATTTTTTAATTTTTACTCTACTCTAATTTTATTAACTTAATCTATACATGAAAAAAATTACACAATTTTATAAAATTTATTAATTAATTTTAATGAAAATAAATACCTCAATACCAGATTCTCCATAAGAGCCTTCAGAGTGCACAGTAGACACGTAAGACCAGTTAGCACTCTTGACAACATCAACGAGGGCAATCGACTGGAATGTATCAGGTGGCACTGTACGTGCAAAGTAGTCAAATCTCGTCTTATCACTGAGAGCCTTTGCCGTTGAGGCCGGGGATATTTGGGGGATATGAAAGAGCCTCAGTAAATTCGCGACCTTAAAATAAAATAAATATTTTTATTATCCCATTATTTATTATTTATTATTTTTTTTTTTGTATGTTTACATTCTTGGCAGACCGCCTATTTAAATCGATTTAAGAATTGAGAAAACAATTTTTTAACACGCCGGTCTATACTCTCTATAAACACAGTATCAAGGATATAGATAACTTGGCGTCCAGCCAGAAATTTCAATTTCAGTTCACTCACCGAATTTAATTCCTCCTAGTTTAATAATACTCATTATTATTATTATTTTTTTATTAATAATCAACATTGGTGTAATTTAATTTCATTTTTTTGAAAATTTTATGTTAAAACCATTATTAATTTAATCGTCTTGAGTTATTTTTTATCCATTCCCTGACACCGTGGTTGAATGGTACGTTTATTGTCTTACAAGCATAATAGAAACGCTTTAAATCTCTCTATTTATTTATTTACGAGCTTACAAATGTTCTGGCTATTTTTTATATATCTTATTATTTATTATCCTTTCCCTATCTCTATTTTCATTTTCAAGAGAGTCATTTACAATGATAATTCCTTTTTAAATTTTTATTTTAATTATCAAGATTTTCATTGTCGGACTATTATAATTCTTTACTACTTACTTGACTGATTTATTACATTTTCAAAATAATATTTATAACAAAATTTTATTTTAATTTTCTTATTAAAAATTATAATTCATTGATTATCATAGTAATTTATAATAATTATAATATTGCTGCGTAACCGAAAAATCCACACGAGTAAGGAGTTTAGTTTTAATTTAATCCTACACATGACTTTTTTTTTTATTTAATTTTTTAACTATAAAAAAATGATTAATTTTCTTGGTATTGTAGGTAATATATATATATATAATATAAAAATATATTTTGACAATAAAATAAATAAAAAAGATGTAAAGTTTATTTTTAAATATGTGACGTGACTGAAAAATGTCAGATGTAACACGTATTAATGTCAGATGGTGTCAAAATAATTTATACTGTACGTAAAAAATAAATAATATAATAATAATAATAATAATAATAATAATAATAATAATAATCTTATCTATTTGTTTGCTAAATACTTTACGGTCTGGACCTGTGAAATTTATGAGCCTGAACACGCTGGACAATATTTAAAAACTTAAATAAAATTTATTGGTACGGTTTATGAATATTTATTAAAAACATTAATAAAAGTTATTTTATTAGGGATTCTGTTTAAAAAATTACCATTTATTTTGACTCGATTTAAATGTTTTTATGGTAAACAAATAATTAATTAATTAAAATTACACTACTTTATGCTCGGCTTGATTTGTATATCATGAAAATATTTCAAATAAAAGTTATTGCAATTATAAATATTAATCCCGAAAAAGTCTCATTAATTAAAACTCTGCTAAAGAATTACTGGGTCTCGGTACAAAAGATAAATATTTTTTTTTTTTTTCATAATAAAAAATGAGGATTGAATATTTAAATGTTGAATAAGAGAAAAAAGTAGTAGTTACCTGGAGAGAAACCGAGCTGTAAGATCCTCCAATAACTCCAAAAATTCGTCCTGCAGCAGCAGCTTTTTTCATTCTCGGCGGAGTTCCATCAGCACATTCGAGGACACTAATGTCCAAATTAGACAATGAAGCTCTAACGAAATGGAGACTCTGATTGAGCGCATAGGTATCTCGACTGCAGGTGTCCAAAATGTGAACTCCTAGCGAAATTCCCGGTAGAATTTTATCGTTTTTGTTTATCTGATCAACCGCAAAGAGCATCGCCTCGAGTCTCTGGACCCCGCGGTTGTAAATTTTGGGCCCGCATGTAAAGTCTCCCTTCTCGTGTACCGGAAACAATCCACCGAGAACTATGTCACCGGGTATCAGAATGGCTTCACGCTCGGTCGGCTGCTTTGACCACCCGACTTGGCCACTCTCCAGCAGAACCATCAGATGTAAAATAATAATTAGCAGCCACTTAGTCATTTTAGCCTCCCTTATTTTTTTTATCTAATGCCGCGGTTAAATTCAATCACTAATTATACTTAATACTTAATACGTTCACTCACTAACTAATTATTTAATAATAATTGTAAAAATATAATAAGGAAAAGTCATGGCTTAAAAACGGACGTAAATAAATTAGGAAACGAAATTAAAGAGGATGATGGGATGATGGGGTGATGTTTTACGTTTCCGTGTAAGCGTAGTATGGCTTGACCCATGTCCGAGCTTCGAAGGTTATTAGGTCTCTTTAACATGTGCAATCAATTTCACCCGTCCCATCAATTCCTCCATAGCTTTCCCGTAGTATATATCTATATATATATATATATATACACTAAAAATCCCTTCACCCTTCGTCGGCTTATTCGACTCCTCTCTCGTATCGGTAGTTGGAGCTGAAGCTCGTCCTGCGGCTAACAAAAACCAATCCGATCTAACGAAAGTATTTCCCCGGAGGCTCCACGTTTACTAGGGATCAGTAACCAATGCTCAGTTTGTTTCCTATCAATTGCTAAACGCTGAAAATATTTTTTATTTTATGGCCGCACTTTATTTTAACACCGGAAAACATAAATTTTATTTTTACCCTAAAAAATTTTTGGTTATTCAGTATTTAAATGTCAAGGTTAAATATATTTTTTATAGTTATTATTTTACACAATAACCAAAAATTTTCTATAGTAGTATACTACACAATAATTTTAGTAATAAACTTACCAAATATTTTTCTTGATAAGTAAATAATATTATAAATCCATCTATTTTATTATTATTATTATTATTATTGTATTAATTCCTTGAAAGTTTTAATCAGTAGTCTTCTCATTAGGTCTTTTGTTATTAATCCACTTGCTCGCGACAAATAATCGAGCGTGTCTTGTGCTTGCAGTGTAAGCTCTTACGGGTTTTATTTGTATTTGTATTTTTATATTTGTATATTAGTTATACTGTAGTCGTAGTAGTGCGCTGCGTTATCGATTCAAGTAGTCAAAACGATCAGACATATCAGACGAGACAAGTGTTGGCATTATTTTTAAATGGAAATTAAATTTTAGTTGATATAAATTTGCTGGCAGATCTAGAAAATCGGACTGGTTCAGCTATTAATTATTAATATAAGCCCCGAGTATTTTTAAAAGCTTTCATTTTGAGACACACCTCTCGAACATTAGCCTGGGAAACGGAGAATTAAGTAACGGAGGGCTGCTCCTTAGGTCGATTTCCTTCTCAAATTTCCTCTTTCCTTTTTATCCTTTTCCTCACTTAGAAGCTCCAGCTTTATTTACCTTTTTACTCTTAAACCTTTCAATCGATTTTTAAATGAAACAGAGTATCGCGTGTTCTCTTTAGCCTCCGGAAAATTTATGTCTAGAAAATCTAATAAAAATCCACAAAGAGAAAGATTATTGACAAAACTTGAGAGTAACAATAATATTTTATCAATTCATTATTATTATTATTATTATTATTATTATTATACTAAAATCTAATTATTTACCTTTTTATTTTATATACATTTAATATATGTATATATATATATATATATATATATGTGTCGTTAAATTATTTCTCGTCGTTATTATTCAATATCATGATTGTTTCATGCGATTACATCGTTCACGTGTATTACACATTATTTTATTTATTATTATTATTATTATTATTATCGTCTGTATTTTATTCCTCGGTTGGCATTGAATTTACGTTTACATTAACATATATATATAGGTATGTATGTAATAATATGTTTAATAACAAACGGTAGTAGCCGCGGATAATTGAAGGTGTTTTATCAAGAGACACGCGACACTAATTCATCAACCAGGAAAATCTGAAATTTCAAAAAATAATAACTTATTTAATCACTGAATTTTTAATTGAGGTCATTGAAATAATTAAACTATTAATGGTTAGTTAATAGAATGTTGGTTGAAAAACGGTATTCTTGTTAAATATATTTATCGAAATAAAATTTTTATTTAAAGTAAATATTAGAAAACTGGCTCTTATAAATAAATTAAAATATTTTACTAAAGATATAATAGTGTGTGGAAAGTTTCAAGGCAATCTGTTAAGAATTGACGTGCTTATTCAATAAAATATTGACCTATCTCCTACCGAATCGCCAGTATATAGATTATTATCTTTTAAGTGAATTATTAATTTAGAGGAGTTAAATTATTATTATTATTATTATTATTATTTGATGGTAATTTTAAGAATATTGATAAATTATATTATCAATTGTGTATCACTTTGATCTAGTTGAAGAATTTAGAAGAATTTTTCTTTTTTCTGATTGAAAAATTTGAGCTCTTTAATAAATAGATTAATATGAAAAGGATAATAAATAATGATAAATTAACAAACCGTGTCTATTTCTCGAGGTACGGCACTCAGCCAAATGAGTTGTAATTGACACTTCCCCGGGTTGTCGCCTCTCCGGTCCCCGGAAACTTGGTTGTTGTTCATTTGCTCGCAATGATTAAAGTCTGAGGCCAACTAAGAACAGTTTCCAATCCCGGTGCTTTGCTGAGCAATATAGTAACTGGTGGTTTTTGTTAATATAACTAGAGGCGTCTTTTCCCTATAGCCTTGAGCCTTGAGCCTTGAGCCTTGAGCCTTGAGCCTTGAGCCTTGAGCCTTGAGCCTTGAGCATTGAGCCTTAAGGTCTCAACCTTCAGCCCTCCACCTTCTCTTAGGTGGTTTATTGCTTCTCGTCGTTATATCCGTTATAACCGTTACACCCGTTACTGTCTAATCCAAATAGAACCCATAGTATAGTATATAGTATTGCGTATAATAGTAATAGTATATAGTGTTGGGATGATAAAAAATATCGAGGTGGTCCTTTGATCGTCAGCTGCCACGCGACGACTACAAAAGATAAATTATTGGGCTAGATCCTTTATGATACACTCATTTCTTTCCTTCTATATTTTATATTTAATTTCCTCCCTTTTTACTTATTCTCCGGTACTTATTTCTACGTCGTCTGACTTATTTCCAGTCCTATATATGCTATAGCACAGTCCCGAGACCCGAGATCTTCACTTCATAAAATCGCTCGAGGTGCCTTCAGCTTTTGCTCCGGTTTCAGAAACGCTGACGACTGTCGTCATTTCTTTTTATCATTTTATGTTTCACCTTCTTCCTATGTTATCCTATGTTATCCAATGTTATCATCATAGCTATCTTCGAGAAAATATATATAATATTTCTCCTATTATAGGATATATCCGCCTATAACAAAAACGACCGTGGCAAAAATAATAAATTATAGATTTTATAAAAAAATTTTAAATAATATTTCATTAAACTTTATCACTACTCTAATTTTTCAAATGATCTATTTTATTTTATAAGATTATTTATATTAAAATATAATTTAAGTATTGTTTTTTAAATTAATAATATTAAATTAAAGAAAGAATAAAATATTATTTTTAATTTTTTAATAAATATAACAATAAAAAGTGAAAATACTGATGAGAAATAAAATAGATTAAAATTGATTGATGTATATCTATAAGCAACAATTAAATTAGTTGATTTACAGTTGAAAAAAAATTATCCCATTTGTAACTCTCATTCCCACTGAAGTTATTATTACTTCAACTCCCAGAGTAATTGCAGGCATCCGACAATTTCAATGTTTTTATGATCTAATTACATGTCATAAAACACAATTATCTGAGAATTTAAATTTATATGATACAGTCTCATCATTTAGATTGTCATAAGTAGTAGATTTTAAATTTTCCTTTTAATAAAAAAAGTTTATAAGTACTTTGAATTGATAAAAAATAATAAAAATAAAACATTATGGTTAAAAACTATATCTGACATGTTTTAAAAACAACTAGGTATAAAAAACAAACTTATATGCTTCTCAAAATAATAAAAATAAAATATTAAAACCAGTGACACTGAAAAAACTTAATCCGTATAAAATTCGTAATATTTACCTGAGAAAGGACTTTTAATTTTCCAACAAAACGGGAATATATTTATAAAAACCTCAAGCTCAACTAAACCCACTTGCGAATCTCGGTCACTGCGATTATTCTCTTGGTTTTATTTACGATTTACCGTCGAGTATCTTCTTCTCTACCTTTAAACTAACTCTCTCTCTCTCTCTCTCTCTCTTTTATCCTTTCTTCTCTCATTTATTCCTCTTCTGAATGCTCTCGAATTCAGCAATCCATGACATCCGCTAATAATCGATTACACGCTACGACATTTCACTTCTGCACTTGATAATTATTAGTCTCTTATATATATATATATATATATATATATATATATATTTTTTTTTTTTAATCCCTTTCAACTAATTAATCTAAATTAAATATAATGAATTTAATATTTTAGTCAATGATAAATTACTCAAAAAACTTATTACAATAAAATACATTTTGAATAGATGATGAATCAATAAAGTCAAAGATTTATCAAAAATAATAAAATAAAGAGAAAACAAAAGTCAAACTTTAGCAGAGCTTTTTATTTGTCACTAGATATACCACGGGAGTAAAGGAAAAGAGGATACTCTGGGTTGAGAGCGGAACGACGACTGGCTGGCTGGCTGGCTGGCTGGCTGGCTGGCTGGCTGGCTGGCTGGCTGGCTGCTGGCCGGCCGGCTGAAAATCCTCCAGCTCTATTCACTCTATTCACTCAACTCTCAACTCTCAACTCTAAACTTTAAACTCGGGACTCGGGACTCGCACTCAACTCGGGACTTTGGGACGCGGAGCTGGTTCCACTGATTCCTCCCTCCACCCTCAATTTCCCGAGCACCCCTTCTGCCGAGATCTCGTCGACTGGCACCCACACCCAGAGACCAGTAACCAATCTCCTCTCGTGGCCCTCTCTTGTCCTCTCGCCCCTTTTCCACACCTTCACCATCCCCTATATCTATCTTCTATCTTCTATATATTATTATATCCAACATTACTTCTAATCCTAGACTCAACGCT